GGCAGGCGCGGGGGGGGGGGGGCGGCTCTGCCCCTCAGCAGGCCGCTGGGCCTGCTCTGTGGGTGGTCACAGTTCCGTCTACCTTGCCGGCGCAGGGGGAGGGGGCGGCTCTGCCTCTCAGCAGGCCGCTGCTCCTCTTCTGCCGGTGGGTCGCAGGCCCGCCTACCTTGCAGGAGTGATTGGAATCTCTGCCCCTCCGGGGGCCACTGGGCCTTTTCTGTCGGTGGTCACAGTTCCGCCTACCTGGCAGGCGCGGGGGGTGGGGGGCGGCTCTGCCCCTCAGCAGGCCGCTGGGCCTGCTCTGTGGGTGGTCACAGTTCCGTCTACCTTGCCGGCGCAGGGGGAGGGGGCGGCTCTGCCTCTCAGCAGGCCGCTGCTCCTCTTCTGCCGTGTGGGTGGGTCGCAGGCCCGCCTACCTTGCAGGAGTGATTGGAAGCTCTGTCCCTCCGCGGGCCACTGGGCCTTTTCTCGCTTTTTGATTTTTAACCATGATATTTAACTTATTTTGAATTTCAACTATTATTAAAAGAGGCTTACCACCTTAATGCTTATCAAAATGAGGCACGGGTCAAATGAGATTAAAAAATGTTGCTTTGTTAAGTTCCATGCTATAACCCTAAAGCAACTCTACACTATATAGTCTACTAACTTAAAAAATAAAAATTCCATAGATGCTCATCAACACTGACTGACTCAATATCAGGAAGCCCATGGAAAAGGTGTGATATCTGGCAAAGCTCAGCCCTAAATCTCATCTCTTCTGTGGAGATGTTGAGCACGTTTATGGAGAATGGATACTTTACTATTCCTGGGAGACTGTAGAAATTGGCTTTTAAGTTTACCCATAACTTAAAGATGCTAGTTCAATAATAATATTTATTGCAAATGTGGCAATTGTTTGATATTTCTTTCTTAAGGGTGTCAAAAGTTTTGGTAGGTTATCTTTTGTGTTAAGATCAAGTGAAGTCAAAGATATCATTCATAGATGTTCCCTATCATGAAGGGATAGGACAGGCATCACTGTAGAAAAGAGAAGTTTTTACTTACGCTGAGGTGGTTGAGAGTCAAAGGGCATCATCATTTTTGGTCTCATTCCCCTCCTTCCAGCTAGTGTAGACATACTGTCCTCTGATTCATGCCCTAGAAATCAAATATGGGGATTAGTTGCAAGTGTACAACCTAGGCCACTGAGCAACTTGGCTGTAAAACATTTCTAGTGGCAGATTTATGACTCAAATAACAATGCAACAGGGATAAGGTATTTCTGATTAGAACATCATGGGGGTCCCTGATGAGATAAGAACAGATAATACAGTGCTGCCCACTATGCAACAGTAACATGGGCTAGGTGACTCAAATGCTTGAGTGAACTCTGATGAGAGACCTAAAAGATCTAAGCTGTTGTCCCCCATAACCAATTAGCTTTTCTTCATCAAATGTTTACTGAACACTATAACATACATTTTTAACCTAACCTCTAAGAATCATCAAATTAAGGCAATCTTACAAAGCCGAAAATCATTAAAAATAGTCTCCCATCATTTGGGAAAAAACCTGCACTGATCATGGTACCTCTGTATGAGTTCCTCCTTTGATGGATATTACTGTCCATGGAATTGTCAACAGGTGTGATATCTTGAGAATTGCGAGGAATTGGCGTATCGGTCATGATGGGATTTGGGTCTGGAGACTTATCGATGGGTTTCAGCTCCAGTCTCTCATGGTGGATCCACAGGTCTGGAGGTTTGACATCTTTGGAGTTCCCTTTGTACTTGTGGGAGCCATTCACTGATTTGCATGCAGCTCGTTTCCTAGGCACAAAATTAAAAAGGTTTTAAAAAGTAATTCTTTTGACACATTAGTCATAAGGCTTGATTAAAACTGCCTTTCTGAAGAATGCTTCAAGGCAGAAAAGAAAAAAAAAAAAACAACCCAAACAAATAAGAATTATGGAAAGAGTAAATGTGTCGCCACCTTGGTCACACAAAATTAGAGATTCTACTGGGAGATTCTTGAATATTGCCTTGTGACTATGTTTTTGAGTGTTATGAGATTAAGATAGCATTTTCAAAAAAATATTTATTTTTTAGTTGTAGTTGGACACAATATCTTTATTTTATTTATTTTTATGTGGCACTGAGGTCTACCACTGAGCCACAACCCAGCCCCTAGAGATTAAGATAGCACTTTTAAAATCAATCTCTAAAGCAGAGGTTCCTTTATAAGATTCCAAATGATAGAGAAAGGACAACAGTAAGCAGAAATGTAACAACGGAATGGAGGTGGAGCATATGGCTTATAAAGAAAGGAGGAAACCATGTTTTAGGTAATCCAGCTGAGTGGAGTCAAAAACCAGGACACAGTGTCTCCTTGACCGTTCTTTAGTTTCTCCCTTCACTCACTCTCTCACTTGCCTACCCATTAATTGCATATATTAGGTACCCACTATATACATCAGATCCTGGGCTAGACGGTTGTGCCTCAGTACTTCTGGTCAAATGAGGAAGGTGGACACTGAACTATTATATTTAAATACTCTGAGCTTAGTGAAATGCCATGCCATCTTAATAGTTGGACCTATGGTAGACAGGAAAGACATGCAAGAAGAAGTGATATTTATGCTGAGACCTAAAGGGGTCAGAAAGTACATTACAGGTGGTGAAATCAGCTTATATCCAAGCTCTGAAGCACAGAGCAGCGTCCTTGCATAATAAGAGAATGATATGGGAAGGTAGTCAGGAACCAGATCATAAAGGGCTTTTATTTATTTATTTTTGGTGATACCCAGGGACATTCTACCACAGATCTGCATCCCCAGCCTTTTTAATGTTATATTTTGAGACAGGGTCTCACTGGCCTTGAACTTCTGATCCTCCTGCCTCAGTCTCCTATCTAGCTAGGACTATAAGCATGTGCCACTGTGCCCAGCTCATAAAGGGTATTTAGAGCAAAGCTGAGTGTGAACTGATCCCTAGGAGTAATGAGAAATCATTAAATGCTTTTAAGCAAGAGAATAAAGAGATGAACTCTGATTTAAAACTTTAGACATCTGTGTTGGGAAGAACGGATTTTTGAGATGAGGGACAGAAGAGGATCAACTAGGATGCTACTGCAATAACCTCAGCTGTGACTGACAGTGGCCTAGAAAGTGGGGAATGGAAGAAGCCGACTTGAAAAGTATTTAAGAGGCAGAAATGATAGGACTTGGTAAGTAAATGGGCATAGGGTGAGGGTAAAGAAAAAAAAGGAGTAAAGGATGAGGCTGAGGTTTCTGGCTTAAGGCACTTAACTCACTGGGAATAATGGAGTAGAAGAGGTTTGACTGAAAAGATTATGAACTGTTTTGACATGAGTATGAAGTACCTTGGAGATATTCATTAGGAAATATAAAGAGGCAACTGGGTGTGTTAAGTCTGATGCTAAGAGAGAGAGAGGCCTTGGCCAGAGACAGAAACACAGTGGGGGCTGGGATATACACAGTAAATCAGATCACAGGAGAAGATGAGATGAAATGGGAGAACATAGATGAAGTAAGCCCAGGCCCAGAGGAATAAGTAATGGCTGGGTAGGTAGAAGGGGCTATGAAAAAGAATAGGTTGTCATGGAATACAAGAAAAGAGAATGCTTCTAGAAGAAAGAAGTAGTTGATTATGTTAACTATTAGAGACTAAAATGAGAACTGAATAGTGTTCTTTGGTTTGGATGATATGGAAGTCACTGGTGACCCATCAAAACTAATTTTGGTGAAATGGTAGGAGCAGAACACAGATTAGAAAGCACTTAAGCATGAGTAGGTAGTGAAGGAACAGATAAGTGAGAATAAATAAATACAGCTGGCCCTCTAATAACTGTTGGTTCTATATTCAACCAAATGCAGACTGAAAATATGTATTAATATTGCATTCAATATGTGACTTTTTCTTGTCAATATTCTATAAACAATACAGTATAACAACTAATTACATAGCATTCATATTGTAGTCACATGTTGATTAATGATGGGGATTTGTTCTAAGAAATGCATTCTAAGGCAATTAAAAAATATTTTTAGATGTAGATGGACACAACACTTTTATTTATTTTTTATGTGGTGCTGAGGATTGAACCCAGTGCTTCACACGTGCTAGGCAGGCACTCTACCTATGAGTTACAACCGCAGTTCCCTAAGGCAATTTTGTTGTGTATCACATAGTACATTCACACAAAGTAAGATGGCTATGATGCCTCTAGATGATATGATCTTATGACCACCGTCACATATGCAGCATTAGTATTACAGGTTGAGCATCCCTAATCTAAAAATTTGAAATGCTTATGGGGTAAAAATGGGAGCTCATAACCCACTTGAATCAAAAGTGTGAAATATGATATATCAAGAACTATGTAATGTTTTGAACAACCAACAATAAAAAATTAAAAAAAAAAATTTGAAATGCTCTAAAATCTGAAAAATTCTGAAATTTAAAACACTTCCAGTCCCAAGTGATTAGGTAAGATAAGGGATACTCCATCTGTATAAATAATCTTTTATGACTTAAAGTATACTGGAGAATGTGTAGGTTGTATGTAAATACTAAGCCATTTCATGTAAGGAACTTGAGAGCATCCTTAACTTTTGGTATCTGTGGGGTGTGTGTGTGTGTCATGAAACCAAACCCCTATGGATACTAAGAGATGACTGAATTCAGGAATTTTGGTGTCAAAGGAAAAAGGTTTGTAAGCAACCAGTAGTGACAATCAAGCAGCAAGAGGATAATTATATGGGGCTGGGGTTATGGCTCAGCGTAAAGTGCTTTTCTAGCACATGTGAGGCCTGGGTTTGATCCTCAGCACTACATATGAATAAATAAAAGTATTGTGTCCAACTAAAAAATAAATATTAAAAAAGAGGATAATTATTTCTTAAGATAGAAGAAGTGTATATATATTTTAATGCTGAAGGGACAAAGGCAATAGAGAATGAGAGATCATCTATCCTGGAGAAAGGGATAAGAGCAAGTACTAGGTCTTAGAAATACAGGAGAATGAGATCAAGGGCATAAAGGGAAGAGCTGGCTTCAAACAGCAAGGAGTACACTTAGGAGGGGAGGAAACATTATTACCAAGGCAGAAAGGTTTTAGATTTGATCATCATCTAACCTACACTGTATCAGTTCTCATCTGCTATGGGTTATCCCCCTAGAATTCATGTGTTAGAAGCCTGATCCCCATTAACAGGGATAAGATATGGTGAATCCCATAAGAGGAGGGCCTAATGGAAAGTAATTAGGTCACCGAGAGCATCATCCTTGGAAGAGGTTAAGGTAGTTCTCACAGAACCAGACTAGTTCCCAAGACAGCAAATTGTTGTAATAGACCTTGGCACCTCCTACTGAGTCTCCCTTCTACACAAGACGAGTTCCCTTTCTGTTTCTCTGCCATGTTGTGACACAGGCCTTCCCCAGAGCACCAGTGCCATGCCTTTTTTGGATGCTCCAGCCGTAAGAATTATGAGCCAAATAAACTTCCTTTCTTTATAAAGTACCCAGCCTTGGGTATTCAGATATACTAACACAAAACTGACTAGTACATCATTTGATGACTTTTACTTTCTTTGGGCAGGAGATACCCAAGTTATCTTTTGAGAGTTAGCGGGTGAAAGGGAATGTGCTAAGAAACAACGAGGGGTTAGACTCTAAATTTCCTATCAATTTTGAGGTTTAAGATGCTATAAACAATTATAATTTCAATACTTTAGGTACTGAAGAGGAAGAAAAGCAACAAGGAAAGTTTATGGGTTTTGATAGTTGAAAGAACACTTGGAAAGAAGATCACTGGAGAAGAGGAAGGGAAAAGTCTTTTGAAGATTTGATATAATTATTTTAAACATAAGGGATCCAAATCTGTAGGATTTGCAGGTTTTAAATACAGAGTGCACAGTCTATTACCAACTAATTTTCCTAATCTCAATCTGAAGACTGAGTATCTTATTTTTATTTATTATAAACTTTAAATATCCCAAATATTCCAAATCACTAACTCTGTCATTTTGGTTTTTAGATTCTACTAAATAAAGATAAAACTAGACAAAAAAGTGAGTTTATAAAGATAGATAAATGTGAAATGCCAAGTAAAGAAGCTTGCAGAAAATTTCTAGAGTAGAAAAAAATGTTGTCTTTGAGGCTTTTAAGAGAAACACTTTTCTATCACCAAAAGCAGACAGGGAAAGCTCTAAGAGGCAGTGGTCAGGAATCATATAAAAGGAGCCCTCATTCTCTTGGGAAAGTGATGACATGTAAGCAATGGGAAGCTTCTTTATTTGGGCAGAAGAGAGAGATTTAAAATATCACATAACTTACAGAAAATGACAAAAAATTACTAGCCACAGTTATAGGGTATCTTGTACTGCCCTGTACACTGAAAACAAATTTATCATTATTAAATACATGCATTCTTGCCTTGGGTACACCACGTCTGATAGTTAATCACAGGCACAGTCATGAATGTCTTTCTCTTTTAGGGGGCAAAGTCCCATCTTATGATCTTTCAGGACACTGTAACTAGTGTAATTTTATTCTACCGTGTTTTTATTATTAGGGGGTAACTCAGGAATGATGTCTCTTGCTGCCAGATACATGAGTTGAATGTCATACAGAGTCAAAGATTTCAGGGCTACCAGCCAGCTATTGGCTCTCTCTGTGAAACTGATGTGTTGATTATCAACAACTTCTTATTACTCATTAAAGCAACCTCCTTACTTGGCCCATCAACCTTACATTTGGTACATTTCTTTAAAAATATTCCTAATCTTGGACTTTTATTAAGAGGCCTATGGCTTTCTTCTACCTTGGCTGGCACTTATTCTGTGTGACATAGCCTGCTGTAGGCCCGCCCACAAACCGCAGAGCATCTGGCTTGTTGTACGCATATAAAAACAACATTCGGAGGGCAACCATCCATGCTGGAAATCTCCCACTCTTCACATCACTTCCCTGCTTAGCTTTGAAGCCTGGGAAGTGAAGCTAAATCAACTTGGCAATTCTACTCCTGGCAAGACAATGGAGGTAGGAGGTGTTGTACTCTCGCCCCTCCCTGCTGGGCAATATTCCTTTAGCTCTAGCATGTTCCTGACAGGAAGGCCGCTTCCACTCTGAAACAGCTCTATCCTCTTCTTGCTTTTTTAGGACTATGGATGACTGTATCCTATCACTGTTGAATGTCTCTGCCCAGTTTCCCCTAACCCCACCTATGACTTATAAATGGTCCCTTTTGAAAGTGTTAGTTCTTCCTGCAAGGACCCCGACTGACACACATTTATAAGATGAACCGATTTCTACTTCCTTTTAAAATATAGTCACTTAATTTGTATTTGTACAACATGGGACCTTCTAAGAAACTAAGGTGATTCTGTCCTCACGCAAATATCATAGAGTGTACTTACTCAAACCTGGATGGGATGGCCTACTACACACCTAAGCTATATGGTATAGCATTCTAAGGCTACAAAAACTGTACAGCATGTGTGACACAATGGTAAATATTGAATCAGAAAAGGTATAGTAAAATATGATTTAAAAAGAGAAAAAATGGTACATTAGTATAGGGCACTTAGGATCATGAATGGAGCATGCTCTGAGTGAGTTGGTGAGTGAGTAGTGAATGACTGTGAAGGTTGTCCACTAATACAGGCTCAATGAACATTGTATGCTTAGATTACACTAAATTTATAAAAGATATTTTTCTTTCTTCAATAAATTAATCTTAGCTTACTGTAACTTTTTTACTTTATAAATGTCTAAGTTTTTAAAAACTGATTATTTCACAACACTTAGCTTAAAACACAATATATTGTGTTTTTAATATACAAATATACAAATGTATATTTGTACAAAAATTTTTCTGCACATTTTTTTTCAAAAAAAATTTTTTTTTTTTTGTTTTAGGTAGACACAATATCTTTATTTTATACGTATGTGGTGCTGAGGATTGAACCCAGTGCCTCATGCATGCTAGGCGAGCATTCTACCACTGAGCCACAACCCCAGCCCCTTTCTGCACATCTTTTTAAAAATATTTTTTTTTAGCTGTAGATGGACACAATACCTTTATTTTATTTGTTTATTTTTATGTGGTGCTGGGGATTGAACCCAGTGCTTCATGTGTGCTAGGCAAGTGCTCTACCACTGAGCCACAACCCTGGTCCTTCTGCACATCTTTATTCTACATGCTTTTTCCTATTGAAAAGATTTTTAATTTTAATTTTTTAATCTTTTTGTTAAAAACTAAGGCACAGATTTCATGTCACCCCAGTCAGAATGACAATTATCAAGAATATAAACAACAATAAATGTTAGTGCGGATGTGGGGGAAAAGATACACTGATATATTGTTGGGAGGAGTGTAAATTGATGCAACCATTAGGGAAAGCAGTATGGAAATTCCTCAGAAAACTTGGAATGGAACCATCATTTGACCCAGCTATCCCACTCCTTGGTGTATACCCAAAGGACTTAAAATCAGCATATTATAGTGACATAGTCACATCAATGTTTATGGCAGCTCAACTCACAGCTAAACTATGGAACCAACAGAGGTGCCCTTCAACAGATTAATAAAGAGGAGAATGAAGGGAGGGAAGAGGGAATGGGGGTAGGAAGGATAGTAGAATGAATCAGACATTATTAACCCTATGTACATATATAACTATACGACCAGTAGGATTATACATCATGTACAACCAGAAGAATGAGAAATTATACTCCATTATATACGATGTATCAAAGTGCATTCTACTGTCATGTATAACTAACTAAAACAAATAAACAAACAAAAAAAACCCAACAACAACATTAAAAAAAAAACTAAGGTACAAGCTCATGCTAGCCTGGGCCTACACAGAGTCATCATTATCTCTCATCATCCACTCTATATCTTGTTCCTGCTGGAAGATCTTCAGGGGCATTAACGTGTATGGAACTTTGTCCCCTAGGATAACATCACCTACCTCCTGATGGGACTGCCTGAGGCTCTTCTTGAGGAGGTGGCACTCTTCCATGGTGGACTGCTTGGTTTGTTTCTATTTTTTTTTTTAATTATAGATTTGCTTAAAAGATTTTTTATTATAGATTTGCACCATGAACATTCCTTTAATAAAAACCTTTCTGTGTTGGGGTCCATGTTTTCAAACTTTTTAAAGGACCTTGTTGAGGTCTACAAAAGCTTTGGCTAAATGCTTCACTGTATTTTCTTGAGGGGTTCTTTTTCTTCTCCTAATGTTTCTTTTTATCTTGCCTCTTCTTTCACTACTTTTTTATTAGATGAAAGACACTTTTTATTATCATATGGGACTGTCCTCATATAAGTAGTCCCTTGTTGACCAAAACATTGTTATATTCAAAAACTATATTCAAAACTGCTTGTCAAGTATTTTATATTTTAATTCTTTGTACCACTCTAAATGCAGAAGTCACATAGAAGAAAAAAAAAAAGATACCACAGTATCTATAGGCTACATTTGGGGCCCCTTACTTTTTCTGGTGAGATGTGGTACGCCTTGTGCAAAAGACAGCAATGATCACGACCACCACAATGGTGATGACACCAACAGAAACGATGATGACCAGCAGCATGTTACTGTCCAGAGGAGAGGTGGGGCTCCCATGAGGGCTGTTGCTTCCTGCAGAGCAAAAATGACACATATGTTAGTTTGGTAGATACTTTTAAAAGTGTATTCAATCAGGTGTAGAAACATTCCAAGATACATTGGGCAAGCTTCTTCATGATATCAGCACCATGCAATATAAAGTGCACATGAATATGTCTGTCTATATTATAAGCTTGAATCCAACTTAAGTATAGTGCTCAGCACAAAGCCTTGCTCAAAGGTTGTTTCCAATAAGTTTCTTGAATTGTGCTAAACATTCAAAAGCTTTCAGGTATACTCAGAGAAAGGATTCTCTGGTGTCTTATAGAATATACAAATTCATTTTGAAAAGCACCATTTCTAAATCATTTGTTTTATTGGCTTTCAAAACCATTTTAAAAATGTATATTCATACAAAGCAAAAGTTTTTCCTAACACATTAAAAAAGCACATCTCATATATTTATTATATAGGTATATGAGATTATAAAAAATACCTGAATAAAATCATCCGTTTTTATATTTCTTCTTTTTTTTTTTTGGTACTGGGAAGCAAACCCAGGACTTTACACATTCTAGGCAAGTGCTCCACCACTGAGCTACATCCGCTCATTTTACATACAGCCTATGCAGTCAGTTTTCCTACTCAACTTGAGGAAAAGTAGATCTGCACATATGAATTAATTTGACAAATATTCAAATATTCCCATGTCCCAGTTGTTGTTTTAAATATTAATTATGCAATGGTGAACAACAAAGATGTGAATGATGGGGGTGGGACTGGGTTAAACAAACAAACAAATAAATAAATAAATAAGAAATTCCTGGTTAATAATCAGTGCTGGAAAAAAAATTAAGTAAAATTAGAAGATATGACAGTGACTGGGTGGCTAATTAAGGCTAACTAGTTAAAAAGTTTCTCTGAATCCAAAGTAGATATCCCCAGGAGGTAACTTCCCCTGGCTTTGTCCAAGTGGCACAGGGCAGCATGGGGCTCTATCCCATGGTATTCACAATCACTTTCCATGATAGAGAAGCTGGGCCTGGAGACTGCACTGAAACATTCCTACAACCTCTCAAGAGTCCTGTGGACAGGGATGAGGAGACAAACTAGGTAGGAAACAGTCCCCCAGACTCCTCAACCTGGATTCTAAGTTCACTTTGCTCTCAGGAAAAGCTTCTCCAGAAGATGGCATTTGAGCTGATATTTGAATGATAAGAAAGATCCCATCATACAAAGACCTAATTGGAGAACACTTCAGAGGGAGAGAAGAGCTAATGGAAGGACCCCGAGTCAGGGAAAGGCAGCCAGCAATGCTTAAGCACAGAGAGATGCAAGTTAGAGGGAAGAGGGGCTGGGGATGTGGCTCTATTGGTGGCGCGCTCGCCTGGCATGCGTGCGACCAGGGTTCGATCCTCAGCACTACATACAAAAACAAAGATGTTGTGTCCGCTGATAACTAAATAAATATTAAAAAATTAAAAAAAAAAGTTAGAGGGAAGAAAGTGAGGAGAAAAGAGATGGAGATGAGGCTGGGCATGTGGGCAGAGGCCAGATCATTTAGGACCTTAAAGAAATAAATGATTTTTTTCTTCTTCCTATTACTATTTCCTCATTGCTTATAGAATGAGGTCCAGGCTTTTATCAGGGACTTTGATAATGTAGCTCTAAGTCTTGCTGTCTTCCAGTTCTCAAAACATATTTCTTTGCTTCCCACCTCATTATTTAAGTTATATATGCTCACATTATAAAATGAGGCAAATCCCACCATAAAGATCTAACCACCATGGACATCCATGGTATTTCCTCCTAGTTACTCTCTTTTATCTTTCCAACAATCAGAGCTGAATAACAAGGGATGAGCTCCTTGCTTAGTAAAAAGTCTTCGGTTATTAGAAGTACTTAAGAAGAGGGATCCCACCAGTGTGGAATCTTGTAGAAGAAATTCCTACCATGAAAAGTATGGTCTGGAAATCTGCGTTTAAAAAAAATTTCCTGAAGTGATTCTCATGTACCACCTGGCTTATAAATTTATGATCTAATCCAAATTTATACTCATGTGGGAATCCCTTCCATAACACTGGATTAGCTGCCCTTCCAACTTTGAATCTATGATTTTAGAGATAACATGTAAGCACAGTGCTAAATCTGGGGCTGATTTAGAAGGGCTTAAGAGCTTATTCTTTTATATGTGGTTCAATCATTTTTATCCTTCATTTCTGAGAAAAAGGTAAGCACACAGACAACTTAAACTGTACACGCTGACCTTCAATAAAATAACCTTTTAAGGAAGATGAGAGTACTGGGGCCAATAAAATTAACCTTCCTGTTCATGTAAGAGTAGGGCTTTACATAACACTGTTATTAACAGCAGTGCTGAGCTAATATACAAGATGGACAAAAGCTTCCATCCAAGTGCAAGAGTGACATGCCACAGGGGTATCAACATTTCTCCCTGAGATAATATAACATGCTATTTATTTATGCCCCATCTGGACTTCTGTAATGGTTTCCTAACCACTGTATTCCTGAGTTCATGTTCTTCTTCTTTTTTTTGTACAATGGATTGAACCTAGTGGCACTTAACCACTGAGCCACATCCCCAGCCCTTTTTGTTTTTCATTTTAAGACAGAGTTTAAGTTGCTTAGGGTCTCACTTAAGTTGCTGAGGCTGCCTTTGAACTTGGGATCCTTCTGCCTCAGCATTCCAAATTGCTGGGATTACAGGTGTGTGCCACAGCACCTGGCCTAACTTCATACATTTAGCTCCCAACTCATTCTTCACTTTTATAAGAGAAAGAATAATAGATACTGTATAAGTGGAAGTTTCAGTGTTCCACAGGTGTCATTTTACATGTTACTTATAGGAGAAAGCTCAAATTTCTTAACATTATTATTTGAGCTCTTGCTGGGCTGGTTCTAATCTAACTTTTCAACTCATTTTCTGTCCTGCATTTAGACAGTAGGATCCCTGGAGAGGAGGTGGCTTTATACTTCCACACCTTTGCATACACTTAGTGCTTCTTGGAATGTCCAACCCCTTCCTTGACATTTAGCAATCTGTGAATCCTTTAAGACCTGGGTGAGGTATCACCTCTTTTACAAAGTTTTCCTTTTTCTCATTTTTGAGTAGATTGTTACTCTACCTCCTTCAACAACCTGCCACATAGAATCTAAACCTTTAAAAATATGAATGTCTACAAAGAAGTAATTATTTTCTCATAGCCTTGATATTATACCGTGAACAGCACAAAATGTAACAAATACACTAAGGAGAAGAGACTTTATTAATAAACAAAGTATTAGACCTTAAGCATAAAAAGTTTTTGAAATGCCATATGCGGTGGTACATGCCTGTAATTCCAGCAACTCGGGAGGCTGAGACTGGAGCATCGCATGTTCAAAGCCAGCCTCAGTAAAAAGGAGGCACTAAGCAACTCAGTAGGACCCTGTCTCTAAATAAAATACAAAATAGGCCTGGGGAATGTGGCTCCGTAGTTGAGTGCCCCTGAGTTCAATCCCCAGTACCAAAAACAAATTTTTTTTTTTTTTTTTAAATAGGCTGATTTTATTGAAGTACGGGCAGTGTCCTTTTTTTTTTTTTTTTTTTTAAATTAAAAAGACAGCTGAAGATTAAGAGACCTCTGTAGTCCCACAATTTGACCAGCATCTCTAGACAAGCCTTTCTCTTTCATGTGATTATTGGGCAGAGGTGATGAGACATTCGCGTCAGTTCTAGTAACTAATTGCACGGACATTTTGCAACTTTGGATTCTCATATCTAGCTTTGTAGGTTGCATGTGATAGTGAAGAAACCTCCATCAGAAGATGGAAGCCTTAGTGGTTGGTTCCAGGCACACTATTTCTCCATTGTCTCTCTGCATTAATGTATTTAAGGATAATAATGGTATCTGTTCTTTCTAGATCCCTGTGTTGTGAGGATCAAATGTGATTCCATGTGGGAAAGTAACTTAGAGATGGAGAATAAAGTTCTGAAGAAAAGGAGGCATTATTAAATTAGAAGACATCAACAGCTCTTAGGATGGTAAGAAGAGTGGGAAGAACTTTCTAAACTCCCAAACTGAAAACAGTACAATAAGTAGTACTGGGAGAACTTACTGATTCTGAAGCATTTCTCTGACTTGTTTGGGTGATTGCTAATCCTATTACTAGATATATTTTTTAAAGTTTTATTTTTCTAGAGGCAGTGGGCAACACAAAGAAACACTGCTCAGGAATCCATCTTGACTATGCTGGGAAACAATTTTATTTACAGATCCTGTAACAAATGGACTTTCAGTAATTTGACAAACATTTGCCATAAAATGCCTAATGCTAGATCTGCTAAATAAAAGGAAATAGGTGAATATGTTACAATCTACCACTCAAGCTACCAAAGATATTTTGAGATTTTAGGCAAACTACTTAAATGTCCATAGGAGGCTCAGAAAGCCATAGGAAGAGCTTTACCACTCATTGGAGGTTTGTAGTCAGATCCCAGGTCTGGCAGCCGGCTTCCTTTTCCTGAAGACCCTGAGGCTAAAGCAGAAGAAATCATGTCAATAATGACCCAACACATTGGAGTGATAGTCCACTTCATAGCCAGTGAATATATTTTTAAAAAATTGTTTTCAGTATACTCTTGTGAGAAAATGAAGAAGCACATAAATAAGGGAAAAATGCTGTCTCTGTGTGCTTAGATATAACTTAGCTTTCTATGCAATGAAAACAGTTCCAGGGCTGTGAACAGACTGTCACTCTGCTGTTCAGGAAGTGAGGACAGAAAACAGCTTCTGAAGGGCTACTTAGAAGACTTCCCCCTTTGGGGGAAAGGAACAAAAGGGATTAATTAGGTTGATGCCTATAGCAAAGAACTATATTTTTCCAAGGGACCCAGTTATGTTGACCTCGTCTAGCAGGCATCAATATTGTTTTGATTCTTTTTTCAAATTCCAAAGTTGCCTTTCCATGTGTAAAGTTGGCCTAAGCAGGGCAGAAGATAGGCGGAGGTTTAAACTGGGTCCTTAGTTCCTGTTCTTACCTAAATATCCAAAGATAGCAAAAACAGTTTTCTCTCTGTTCATATTAGCTCCTAATCAATCATCTTTGGGCATAGAAAGTGATGCTGCTGACTTCAGGGTTGGGGCCACCCCAGCAGGAAGACTCAGAAAATGCAAATATCCGTTTTTTTTTTTTAAATGCTTAGTCTTGGTCTCGAACCTTGTTCTTCATATTTGTAAAAGCTGCTTGGGTAAAGCAAATGCCAAGGAGCCTGTCTCCAATAAGGCAAAGGTATCCCTCAATCCAAAGTTATGGCCAGAAAGCAGTATCATGCTCCACTTGAAAAGAGGACTGAAAGAACTACAAAGCAAAATTCTGCTCCTTGTAGTTAATACAGTCTAGTGCTTAAGCAACTGCACTTGAACACTGGCTCCATCATATATAACTTTTTGGGCAAATGATTTAAATATTCTCTATGTGCCTCAGTTTCCTTATTATAAACAGGGATAATAATGGTATCTACACTTCACAAAACTTTTGTGAGGATTAAATAGAAATTTAATACCATAAAATATACTTAAAATTGCCTGATATTTAGTAATACAATTGTTCAATAAATGTTAACCATTATTATTACAAGCATAATGAAATTTCATGGAAGAATACACAGAATACGATCTTTCCCTTTACAGAGGCAGAGAGCAAAGAATTTTAGCAAACACATAAATCAGAGTTATTTCTATAAATAAAGCTTGACCAGAAGTGCATAAACTAGATGTTTCTGCAATAGATTAGAGCTAATGTAAAGTCCTTCTATAAATTATCAGACTTTAAGGAAACAAAAGAAATACAAATCTAAAGTTGTCTATAAGTAGTTAATTTAACAGAATAAACCTAGAGACTAAAACAATATTTACTATGATTCCAGAAGCTGAAAAGCCCCAAAAGAAAGTGACAGAACTTCTTGGATATCCAAAATGGTGTATTCTAGAGTCTAACTCAGTCCCTGATCCTCTTTCCATTTCCTACACTTAACTACTTTACTGTTGATGCCATAATTTCTCCCAAATGGCACACAATGTATGACAAAAATTCAGTGCTTTTCACTCTGATAAAGCCTAGTTGGCAGAGATGGCTTAGCACTTTTCAATGTATTGGGTCATCAGGAAGGCTATGTTTAAGCCTAATTATTCACAGCACTGTATCATGTAAATAATTACTGAAGAATACCTTTTGCCAATAAATTGGTTGGTTTACATTCCCCTATTATCCAATCTTTTCTTTTAAATTATGAACAAAAAATTTCAAGGATGAACCTAGCACCAAAAATTCCAATAGGTAAAGAATTTTAACTAGCAGAAGTGAGGTACAGATAAGAATTGTACTCTGGCTATCAAGTGAGTGAGAGAACAAAGAACACATATTTATATTCTGTGCATATATGATTATTTTTATATTCTGTGCTTACACACACAAAAAAGTATATTTGCAGTCTCCCCAAAAAGTATGTTTCCAATTTCCCTAATAAACAGCAAAAGACGCACTAAACACAAACACAAGTCCAAAGCCATGAAACTCAATACCTCAAGTTCTGATTCTTCATGCATTAACCAAGATCCAAAGACCTCTATTTACAATAACTATTCTTAAACCACAGGAGTAAATTATTAATTTACTTTCAGTGCTCTTTCTCAGTATGGAAATATAGCTTTAGTTGACTTCTTAGAGAGAAAAAAATCACAAAGAACAGCTGTCCTTCTAAAATGGCAATTATAGTGAAGAGTGCTGATAAAAGGTGACATTAAAGCCCATGCTTCCTAAATTTCCATATTAAATAGTTTTTAATCCTCTTTTAAAATTATCAGATACATTGAGAAGAAATGGAAAATAGCTCTGAATCAACTCATTGTAACACAATAAAACACTCTAGGTCATGGGTAACTAATTATATGATATTAGTAGGATAAATTTGTCGTTTATTAGTGGGAGGACCCACGGTATTACTTTGACAACAACTTTTTATTTAGAGACATTAATAATTCTAGATGATGCAAACTGGAAAGTGGTATCTGATTGTTACACAACTTCAAAATCTCAGTATTCGAGGAGGAAAATCTGACCTACACCAAAGGCCAATCTCATACAGTTGCAGGACTCAGTTTATTTAACTCAATATTTTTTTTTTCTGGCAGTCTATTTAACTGTTAAGTAAATTCCCCAGCTTTTCAAATACCCCAAGTACCATAAACCTGGACTCAACTCCACTTGGCCAATAAACATGTGGTTTTTAACACATGGTATTTATTTTCAAGAAAAAAGAAGAATAACAAAAGCTCATAATATGTAATGAAAGAGAAAAGCAAAGAAGAGGCCATCTACTCATTTACCTTGATCATTAGGCATTTTATCAGAGGAGTCCGCTAACAGGCCAAGCACAGGGGAAGAAAAAACAAGAGCAAGGATCAAAAGCTTTGAAGATGGGACAGACAAAGTTTTAAAGGAAAAAAATAAAATTTCCACAAGCTTCCAAACATTCTTGTTTTTACTGCTAACAGAAAAGATATCCATATTTTTGTTATTTCCATTTTTTTAGTCCCCAACTAAATTTTATTAGCCTAAGCTTACTCAGTTCCAATACTGTATCGTTTTCTTATCTTAAGGTCACGTTTAGTCTCTTGTTCTCTACAAAGGTACACAAATAAGCCTTTTAAGAACCATTCATCAGAATAACATGTTATATGGGAACCAAAAGAATCACATCTGATTTAACTGGGAAAAACTTTTAAATCACTGAAATTCATCTTTCCCAAATATTCTGGAGCCAAAGTTACCCTGTATATGATACAGTTAGGTCAGTATCTCTGGGGAGAACTGATTTGGTGGTTAGTGGGTGGGTAAGGGATCTTTTGGGATAAATTTCCACACTGTGGCCGATAAGCTCATCATTAGAACTTCTCATATTACTCATAGTCTCTATATGCTGAAGTGTTATGTGTAAGCATAGCCCCAATAAACAGACATACCAAAACCCTCAGATCAAGGAGGTTTACCTTTAGGTGTTCTGAACTGGACAGCTTCAGACATGGGCCCCATGCCCTTTGAATTCCGGGCCTGGATTTTGAAGTAGTACGGTGTGTCAAGTGTTAACTCTTGAATCTGGTGAGTCAGCCTGTTTCCCACAACAGGCTCAATAACCCAATCATGTATCTCTGCATTCACATCTGTACTGTAATATATGATATAACCTGTCCAAAGAAGTTAATGGGGAAAAAGTCTCATTTCTATTTTTCTTTTCATAATCAGGAAATAAAAAAGTCTATTATATCATTGCAAATTATACTATACTATCTGAATAGTTCACCCTCCTCAAGTGCCTAACAATAAAAATAATGTAGTTTTGCAAACAATGATGGCTTGACATGCTATTTTGTCTCACATCAAAGTGATCTTCTAGTAGAAAAACTCCAGGCAGATGGGCAGCAACCTCTTCTTAATTCCTCCCAGAATTTTGACTGAATGAAGCCAAAATGAACTGTCACTGGATACTTCCACCAGGGGGCATGCAATCCCCATGGATAAGACAGAAAGCCTCACAAACACACATTCCCACACAGTACAAAAATGCAAGGTGGTGGTACAGGTTTTATAAGACAAAGTAAAATGTAATTCAGGTCAAGTTATGCTTAATTTTTTCTTCTGTACTGGGGATTAAACCCAGGGGTGCTTAACCACTGAGCCACGTCCCTAACCCTTTTTTATGTTTTGAGACAGGGTTTTGCTATGACTTAGGGCCTTGCTAAGTTGTGGAGGCTGGCTTTGAACTTGAGATCCTCCTGCCTCAGCCTCCTGAGTGGTGGGACTACAGGCATGTTTTATAGAAAAGGCAAAGTCAAAACCTAAAAAAGGAATGATGTGAAGATCAGGATTTATGGGAAGATATCCTCCTGAAAGTTAAAAGGGGTCAGTGTTAAGAAATGCTTTCTATTTCCTTAAGTGATCTTACTCATACTTCAGAAGGCAAACTCTGGTTCCTCAGCATACATTCACATAGATTAGAGTTTCCAAAGGGAAGGATCAGCAGCCCAATCCCATCAGGCCTCACCCCTTGAAAAAGCTAGAAAGGTCATAGTGTCCTCTCTACTGTAGAAGGTTTCCCTCTGGAAGTCCAAAGAATTATTCCAGGTCCCTTTAAAGGCCTATGGTAATTCAAGCTTTTAACTCTAATTGTATGAGCATGGAAACCTGAAAGAGCAGGCTTGGGGGAAAAAAGAATTTAAAGCCTAATGGGGCTGGTGGTGTATACTTGTAATTCCAGGAATGTGGGAGGCTGAGACAGGAAGATTGCAAATTCAAGGCCAGTCTTACTGGCAATTTCATGAGACCCTGGGTCAAAAAATTAAAAAGGCTAGGGATGTAATTCAGTGGTAGAGCCCCTAGCGTTCAATCCCCAGAACTGGGGTGGGCAGAGAAGCCTAATAGGCTTTTATGGATTTCCAGGTAAAAAGAAAAGAATCTAAATTTATTGAATATTACTCGATGGTATTAGGTAGGAGTATACAACATCAAAGGTAGTCATCCAGGTAGTGAAGAGCTTTCTCAAGGAAAATAAATACATCCATAAAGTAATGGTATGCCCAAAGGCTGTCTGCTGCACACACCCCATCAGACTTGCAGGCAGTGTGAGGCAGAACTACCAGTTGGCAACTCATTTCTGTGCCACTGGGGGAAAACAGCAAACCCTTTCTCTAGTTTCAAGGCCCATCATGACTCACATCACACAAGCCAGACTTCATATTCCCATTTCTCTTGAAAACATAGTACTTGCCTAGAAAAGGGCATAGACGAACACACTGTAAGGCAATCTTACCTGTAATTTTGCCATTGGCTTCTGAAGGAGGCTGCCAGTTCACAATTATGGTCCTAGGTTTTCCCTCTTTACTCACAACTGTTACATCTTTAGGTGGAGAAGTAGGAACTACAAAATAACAATACTCACAATAATTCCTATGCATTTCAATATAATTCACATTTTTCCTTTATAAAGCACAATAAAGGTATAAGACAAAAAAGATAAAGTCTGAGGGCTTCAGAGAATTCACTGTGAAATAGTTCCATTAAAAAGAATATGCAGAGGGCCGGGGTTGTGGCTCAGTGGTAGAGTGCTTGCCTAGCATGCATGAGGCACTGGGTTCGATTCCTGACCTCACATAAAAATAACAACAAATAAAATAAAGGTTAAAAAGAAAAAGGATATGCAAGGACTGGGGTTGTAGCTCAATGGTAGACTGCTTGCCTGGCATGTGTGAGGCACTGGGTTTGAGTCTCAGCACCACATATAAATAAATAAAAATAAAGTTCCATCAACAACTAAAAGAAATACATTTAAAAAAAAAGAATATGCAGGGGACTGGGGATGTAGCTCAGTGATAGAGAGGTTGCCTAGTATGTATGAGGCACTGGGTTGAATTCTCAGCACCATATATAAATAAAATAAAGGTCCACTGACAACTACACACACACACACACACACACACACACACACACACACGAGAATATGCAAAGTACCAAAGAGAAACACTACACTGTGAGGATATACAACTGGTATCTTGGCTGGGGTCAGGGATATATAAGATAAGTAGAGAAAGCAAATGATGTTTGTACCAAGTACCCATTATGTACCAGGTATTGTATAAACAGTATACGACTTAATATTTACAACAACCTTGACAGGTGGCTCTATTTCTATTTTAAAGGTCAGGACACCAAATGAGAGAAGCTGTATAATTTACTCAAGATAACTTTCTTCCCCTAGGTTTGTATTACTTTTGTTAGAATATTTTTAAGTGTAAGATAATTTTCTCTCTCACAAATGACTTTTAGAGCTATATTTCCTCAAGAATAAATGATTTAATAACTGACATTTTTCATTTAAAAGCATACTGCCAATTATTGAGATTACAGCTCCAATGAAAAGATTTTTATGCAAAAGAAAAACTAACAAAATAAAAACTGTGTCTCTTATGCTTCCATGTGAAAGCTGAAAATTCAATGAACTAGTAGGAAAATGAAAAAATTAAATACATCTGAAATTTATTCTTCTCTTCTTCAAATACAGGAATTCTAGTACAAGATGGAAGGAAGTCCATGAAATGCAAATATTCTAAGGGAAAATACAAATTTCATTTATTAGCTAATGAGTTGAAATTAAACTAAAATGAAATTCTTAAAACATTAATGAAGAAAACAAATTGAAGGCCTACTTAAACTTGTATGTACTACATTTCCAGCTCTCCAAATCCAACTCCTTTTTCTGTAGAAACAATGCAAAAGGGCCAAACCCAGTTTGTAGAGAAATTATAATGCCAGTTTTTTTTTTTTTTTTTAAATTCTTATATAGGACAGAAAGACATTCCATGCTAGGAATGCCCAAAGGGAAGTAGAAAGGTAGGCCTAAAAGAAGAAAAAAGCAAACAGAATCTCAAACCTGGACAATCTGCTCTCTCCTTAATTTGCTTAGTTATCTCTTCTCTGTCATGTGGACTTACAAACAAAAACCCAAAGGATATTTCAGTGAAAACATTTTACAAAGACACTAATTGTTCAAGAAAGCTTTGGGTCATCCAGTGAAGTGTTTGGGTTCTAACAAGCATGGCTTTGCAACTTGTTTGGTCAAGGACATGTCACTTTATTTTTTCAACTTTAATTTACCAGTAAAGCAGCATTAATGACAATAAGCTTTTGTATCTACCCCAGGCTTTATGATTCACTACGTGCTTTCCCATCTGTTCCTCATTTTACCCTACAATTACCCTATAAAGTAGGAAAGGCAGAATAATTCCTCATTTGGAATGGAAGAAACTGAGATTCAGAGAGATGGGATGACTTGCTCATGATCACACAGTCAGCAGATGGTTGACCTGGGATGGGATGCAAGTCTTAATTCCTAAAATCTAGCAAATTTTGCATTATATTATCTTGCTTTTGGCTAGTATTCTTGCAGTGACAAAAAAAAAAAATCATCTGTTGAAATAGCAAATCCTATTCCAAAGGTAGTTGGCTGGTCACTGTGTTCTGTAAATATATCATTTCATATACTTAGTTCTTTCCTTGGGGAATAAAAGCAGGTGATGAAAAGTATCATGAATTGGAATGTGGCACAACATGAACTTCCATTAGCTTCTATATTTTGCAAGGAGAAGAACTGCCATGTGATGGTGGTCCTGACAACACATACCTAATTCAAAGGTGGTCCCATGTGCTGTCATACTCCATGTGCTTGATCTTCGACCTTTGGTCACCATCACAGAGAATTCATAGAGTGTATTTGGTTTTAAACCAGTCACCAAGTAACTTAAAGTCGTTGCATTTGCATTCTGGAAAATATGAATTAGGAACTTAAAAATTAGAAATATCAATTATTATCTTTTTTCACCCAGAGCAAATATGTCAGTACCTTGTACTTGGTGTTTGCAGGGATGTTGGTTTTCCATCGAACTGTGTAGTACCGGGAGTCTGTAATCTTCTGATGTTTGGGCAGTGAGTTGTCCGCCCATGTAATCCTTATGGTGTCATGACTCAGAATGGAAGCCTGAACTCCCACTGGTGGCATCATGGGAGTGGGATCTGGCACTGGAGTGTATGGAGCATTAATAACAAATAAATCAACTTCAGAAGTGTCTGGGTAAAAAGTAATTAAAAAAGGGAAGTGGCATTTTAACATAAACAAAAATAAAAGAGAAGGGAAATGCAGGGGAATTTAATGGAATGAAAGATGAGAAATGGAAAAAAAGAAAGAAAATCCAGAGTTAATAGATAACCATTATTCATTCAAAAGAATATTTTCACTTGTGTTTTTAATTTTTTTAAAAAAAATTTTGTAATATTGGGGACTGAATCCAAGGGTTCTCGATCATGGAGATACACCTCCAGCCCTTTTAATTTTATTTTAAGACAGAGTCTTGCTAAGTTGCTGAGGCTGGTCTCTAACTTTCCATTCTCCTTCCTCAGCCTTCTGAGTAACGGAGATTGCAGGCATGCACCACCACACTGGGTTCCTCTGTATTCTTTCAAGAAAAATTTGTAGAAAAATGTTGAGAGAAGCAGTAATTAGCCATGTTCACTACTGCATTCTATAGGCATATTAAAATGTGATTATATTAACATTTTTAAATTTTCTTAAGATTACTTGAAAATTCTACCTCCTGTTCAAAAAAGAACATGAAAAGACAAAAATTGGTTTTAAAATCAAGGATATAATTTCTGAACAAGCAGCACACAGCTCATGGTATGTTTTGAGATTTCAATAAATATGGCTGAATTTGAGGACATGAGTTATCAGTGCTAATCACTCCATATGTAAAGGTCCTACTCTCAAATCTTAGTCCTGAATGTCAGTCAGCCAATGGGTCAGTTTCAGACCTGCTGATATCTTGAGTCTAGAGGCTATATGGCAATAATGGCTCACAGCTGAATAAAGCAAAATGAACTTGTGGCCATTCCTCTTCCCTGAGGAAAGGTAAGCCAGACTATTGCCTACACATTCTACAGCAAAGCCAGAGAACAATTCGGTGATGAAGCTCCATCAGTTAAAGGAAATGTTATGGTTATTATGGGTTCAAGTTACACAGCTTTCATGAACTTTAGAAATTAGAATATTCTGAAGAAAAGTAAAGTCTATTCTCATGTGCTGTGTCGATGTAATGCACATATTCTCTGTCGCTGCAAACCAGGCCAGAATGAGCAGAAAAGCATCAAGGACCATGAGAGAGGGCAATACAAGAAGCTCCCTTTGGGCTTTCTCAACTTTTTGTTAGGTTTGTCAAGTATATACATACTATTTTAAGTTCAGATTTTAAAATGGGTTTCCCATATAGTTATGGTGTCTAGTCCTTCCTATAACCCAAAATCTGAAACAACACAGGGCTTATGAATAATTGTCATATTAAAGTAATAGTCTCCATGTGTGTATTTCCTGTACAATGAAGACTAAAAATAACAGAGGAGCAGCAGACATTATAGTCAAGGGCTTCGTTCAAAGACTGTCAGGACACATAATAATTTATTACAGAAAATGCACTTTCAGGTACAGAAATCATTAGAATTCTTAGAGAAATTTTCTTCTTATATGTATTAACTCTTGAAAAAGGTCAGTGGGTTCAATGATTTAGGAACATTTCCTTGTATGTTTCTGGCCAGCAGACTATTTTTAAGCCACATAAAAGAAAATAATTTCATTTAAGAAAGAAGACTACTTATTTAAATATTCTCTTTTGTCCTTATTTTTTTCTTTTCTTGAATACTAAAACTATTTGTAGAAGAACTTGTAGGCACACAGTAGAAGACAGGACAGTGCTACCAAACAAGTAGTAATAATGTTGGTCTGAAGCAGAAGCTTGGAAAAAAAACAAACAAACAGGAGTGGGGGTTATAGAGATGATCTTTTAAAAGACTATTGCCAAGTCTGTGTTATTATGCAGAGCATCTGAAAGACACAGCAGACAATACTGAGTCAAACATGTGGGCAACAAATGGAAAAAAGCATTTCTAGAAAGAAATTCTTTTGTTTTCAATACCTTTTAAAAAATGAATGATTTTAATATATTTACTTCAATAAACTTTCTCATTCAGAATCTAAATTAGATGTTTTATATAGCTATAGTAAGTACATTATTTATAAATGGGTAATTCAAATTAAAACAATGAATATTTGATTCCTTATAATTAATGTATAACTGATCAAATGGATAGTGCCTCTGACTTTATACCTTTTACATAAATATTAAACATATGAAAGGTCCATAAAAATATTTTCCCAATGAACTAGGATAACTAGTAAAGCAAATGTTGGCTTCACCAATCACATACATTTACTGCAACTATTAGTAATCTATATAACTCCCTTAGAGATACAGAGGTCCTTTCGTTTTTTTTTTTTTTTATTCATTTTAGCTATAACCAACATGCCTGAAAAATGAAAATTCACTTTTAATTCTCTCAAAACTAGGCCTGTGATTTATAGATCCTGACACATTAAAGATGTGCACATATCTACAAAGAATGACTCACACAACAAATTTAATATTTTCCAACAAAGAAAACAAGAATCAATAGAACTTTCTATGTTAAAAGCTTACCTTCCCATTTGAAGTCTGCACCTAAGCTGCCATGTTCCTTCCACAAATACCTATCAGTAGGCTTCATGCCAATGTTCTACAAAAGCTACTGGTAAAAAGTGCTGACAAAGAGAGACAGAGAGGATATCCTACCTGTGTGAGGCCTGGTCACAGCACTTTCATACAAGGGGATGCCTTCACCCACGTTGTTAAATGCTTTCAGGGTAATCACATAGTGAGAGCTTGGATCTGAGAGATTCAAACAAACAAGCCAAAATCAGTTTTAAAAATCCCCACTAATGAATTTAAAAAATTCAAAGATGATTATGCACAATTTTAACTGTGGAGGAATTAAAGACTAAAATTTTTTATAGGGGATTATTTTGGGATGTTAGAGATATACAGATGGAAGCATACATAGTACATTGAAACTAGCCAAGTCAACTTCTTGGATTTAATTCCAAGAGTAAAATCTGTACTTGAATCCTCTTGGCCTCTTAATATGTTTTAGTAATATTCATTGTATGGTGGAGGGCTTAAATGAGAATGAGAAAATAGGATTTTCATGTGTTGGAAGCATATAGGTGGAGCTTAAAATCAACCTCTTTCCCTTCCCTGAAGGACACTGAATGGAACAGTAAAGGTAGAGAAGCAGGAGATAAACTTCTGAATGTCCTCAACACTCTAGGGGACTTCCAAATCCAGAAAGGTCAAAACCTTATGTAGTCATCATGCAGACTTCTAGGTTGGACAAAATATGGCTCAGGGTTTTGTGTGCTGGGAAGTGATTTTGCATGAAACACTCTCTCTAGAGGATCATGCAAAATACTACTAATAAGACTTAGAAAAGAGGGGGCATTAAATAGGTGGAATGGCATTCACTCTTACTGGTTAGAAATCAGGGAGATTCTAATTCATCACATTCCTGATCCAGGCAAGGTTTAGTATGGTTATTTCAAAAGCCCACTTTCAAAAATGAAGAACTGGATTCCATTGAAGTGTTCCAGACAGAGAAACTGACTTATTCCACTCACTTCTGGCAGAGTTTGGCAATGTTCTAAAGTGACCATACCTCACATGGCCTGTGTTATTCCAAAAGCTTAAAATAGCTAATTTGTTTTGGGACTCACCCACCTACTCTCCAGATAATGGGCAATATGTGGAGGAATCAAAGACTAAAATTTACATGTCACACAGAAATGACAACAAATGGAATCAATAAGACTCGTTACTTGACTGGCAAGGAAAAAGTGGTTTGGACAACACAGTAAACAGGGAGGGATGTCATTCGCTGAGACTGGGACAGGGGCAAAGCAAACATGATACACAATTCCAAGGCTTAATCTACATCTACTTTCCACTTTCTATGTATTTTCATTTGTTTTGATTATCTTGTGCCAATTAACTGTTTTTTAAAATTTTTATTGTTGGTTGTTCAAAACATTACATAGTTCTTGACATATCATATTTCACACTTTGATTCAAGTGGGTTATGAACTCCCATTTTTACCCCGTATACAGATTGCAGAATCACATCGGTTACACATCCACTGATTTACATATCGCCATCCTAGTGTCTGTTGTATTCTGCTGCCTTTCCTAATTAACTGTTTTGATTAACTGCAAATACATATCTCTAGTCGCAACCTTTGTGATTATCAGACCTCTATCTTCGACTGTTTGGCATCTCCTCTTAGATGTCTCAAGTCTTACTCTCTTCCTTCTTCCCTTTCTCTCCTCACCTGACTTGCTTCAGTGTTCCCTAGTTAAGCAAATGGCAATGCTACCAACCCTGAAATTCAAGTCAGAAATCTGGCAGTCATTAACACCTTCCCCTCTCTCAGCAAATAATCATGTCTTGTTGATTCTACCTGTCTCTCACTCTTCTTCCCTCTTTCTCAGTGCTCCATCTTTCCTGGTCACCTTTTCATTCTGTGAGCTCTCTTCCACCACTGTTTCAATGCTGGATGGATCCCATCTCATCCTTTCTCTATATCCAGAAAAGCCTATTCATATAGTGGTTAGTTTCTCTAGCTACATAGCTTGCAACACTCCATTTCTCTTCCTCATTATTATGAACACTTTTAGTTTTTTTAATCATTTTATTTCTAAACTATAACCACGTCTGCCTGGTTCTTGGCTCTATTTCTAGCCAGTGTCTGGAATAGTTGGTGCTCATTAAAAATTTGCTGATTGATTGACAGGTTTTGGGGAAAAGATACTAAATGTAAATTTTGGCTAGGTGCAGGTATGGATGTGGAGCTCAGGGGAGGGTTCTAGTCTGATAGAAGAAGATGTAAACCTCTTTACTTCTGACTTGCTCCTCTTATTCAACATTATATTCATCTTATATCTAACAAAAGTAGTTCAAACTTATTTTACTTTATGCCAAGTTAATTTTGTTTTTGGTACTTCTCTATATATTCTCTTTTCAATTGGAGTCTACTTGTTTACTTCATTTCCTATCTTTGTTTTAAACACCACCCTGGATCAATCTTTCAAGCCCTGCTCTATTGTGCCTTGCTAGCTCTCCCTTCCCTCAACATGTTTCAATTTAAACTCATAATTTCTTGTGTTTACTTTTGTTCTCTTTTTAGACTGAAAGCACATGAAGGTCTAGGACCATGTCCTGTGAGTGCATTGCAAAGGATTTTCATTTTAGCAGTTTTATAAAGGAAATAGTAGGAGACTGGTCATCACAGGGATATTTTTTATTGTTGTTGCACAGCAAAGCTTTTGTGGGGGGGGGGGTTTTTTTTTTTTTTAGTAGATTAAGTTGCTGCTTATTTTCTAACAGAAACGATGAAGGTAAGTAGTTATCATCCATTTGAAGTTGTTCTTAGGAAACATGTTTACAAAGCAATGATTTGAAAAAAAATTTCATCAGGGAAGATTCTGAGTTAAAAGACAAGTCTTTCAAAAGAAGATAATGATAATCCAATTTGGAAAATTATACTTAGCTAGTTCAATTCAATTTTATTATGAAATATTAATATTTCTGAAATTCTCTTGCTTTAAAATCAACCATGAGGTCTGAGTAACAATAAAATATATACCAATTTCACTGTACATTAAGTTTTGATAAATTTACATACCTGTGAAATCACTCCAAGTAGTTGTGTCCTTGTAGTTAACTGCTACCCCTCCCAGTTTCACAAAATCACTGATATTGCTTGGTAGCAATATCAGTTTTGCTTATCTTGTAATTTCATAAAAATGTAATAACACAGGATGTACTGTCTTCAGTTTGACCTTTTGCTCAGCATAATCTTTGTAAGGCTAATTTTTTCCATATTTTTTATTGGCGTATTAGAGTTATGAGACTCATTTCTGTTGTTCATGTGTATTGACAATTTCTTTTAGTTACTGAGTAGTATTCCATCACTTGTATATAGTGCAATTTATCATTTACTAATTGGTAGAAATTTGTATCATTTCCCCTTTTGAGCTATTATAAGTAAAGCTACCATAAACAGTTTTGTTTGCTTTTATATAGACAGGAGTTTTTATTTCTTAAATGAAATATCTATAACTAAGATTGCTAGTTTGTATACTTAAATTCATTAGAGAACTCCAACTATTTTATGAAGTGGTTATACTATCAGACATCTCTAATAGCAAGCATGGAAGCAAGCTCTGCATCCCTGCTGATATTTGGTGTTGTTGGTCAACTTTAGTGAATGTGTAGTGATACTGCATCATGGTGTATTTCTTTGATGATTAATGATGCTGAGCATCTTTTCATGTACTTACTGTCCACTGGCATAGTACCAGTCCAAATCTTCTATCCACTTTTTTTTTTAATTGGGTTTTCTTACGGAGTTCTAAGAATTTTTATATATTGTAAACTCAAATTCTTTGTCAGATATTTGAATGGCAGGTATTTTCTCCAAGTCTGTGGCTCATCTTTTCATTTTATCTTTCCAAAAGTAGAAGTTTAAAATTTTGATGAAGTCTATTTTATTAATTTTTGATATCATTTACTTTTAAAAAATTATTTACTTTTATTAATTTTTTTTTTTACTTTTAGTAAATTAAATTTTTAGACTTGTATTTACTTTTTTGCATCATAAGAGGTCCTTGACCACCCCAAGATCATTAAAGTTTTTTCCTATGTTTTCAGCTAGAAGGTTTATAGTTTTAACTGTTACGTTTAGGTCTGTTTTTGTGATTGGTATAAGACAAAGGTCAAAGTTCCTTTTCCTTCTTGTACTGATATCCAATTATTCCACACCTTTTGTTAAAAAGACTATCCTTTTCTTGGGGCTGGGGTTGTAGCTCAGTGGTAGAGTGCTTGCCTAGCATGTGTGAGGCCCTGGGTTTGATCTCAGCACCACATAAAGACAAATAAATAAAACAAAAGTATATTTAAAAAGATTAAACAAACAAAAAAGACTATCCTTTTCTCACTGAACATCTCAGTACGTTTGTCAAAAATCATCTGACCACATACATAGGGATCCATTTCGGGACTCTACACTGTTCCACTGATCTATAGTATTTATCTTTACACTAATACCACACTGTCCCCATTACTGTGACTCAAAAAGTCATCATGAAATCATCAAGTAGTATGATTCCTTTTTTGTTTTTTCCAAAAAATTTTAGCTATTCTTGTTTCTTTGCTTTTTCATGTAAGTTTCTGAATCAACTTATCAATTTCCATAAAAAAGCATACTGGAAGTTTCCTTAGGATTGCACTGGAAAGAAATCCATCTTAGTAATACTATCTTTTCATCAATGAACATCTTCATTGGCATTTTAATTTCTCCCAGCAATGTCTTTCTAATTTTCAGTATAGAAATCATTCACATATTTTGTAAATTTATTCCTGTTTCATATTTTTATGCTATGTAAAGGTATGATTATCTAAATTCCAATTTCTAATTGTTTATTAATGGTATATGGGAATATAACTATATTTATATATTGACTTTGTATCTTGTGACCTTGATTAGTTCACTTATAATCTTAGTAGACTTTTTGTATATTCTTAAGGATTTTCTACTTTAGTGAGTATGTAGAATGCTCAGATATTTGTTTCTAAATATTATTTTTCCATAAAAGAAAAAAGTGATCCTTGGAGAAATGGCTGATTCTGGGGCTGAGGCTGGGAAAATATCAGATGAGTTTGGAGCATGTTTCTGTGTCAAAAAGAAAGTGCTTAGGGGCTGGGGTCCTGGCTAAATAGTAGAGCGCTCGCCCAGCATGCATGAGGCACTGGGTTCAATCCTCAGCACCATATAAATGTAAAATAAAGATATTGTGTCCACCTAAAACTTAAGAATAAATATTTTTTTAAAAAAGAAAGTGCTTAAAGAAAGAAGGGAGGTGTGAAATGGACATTGGAACCATTGGCTATTCATTCTCCATGGAGGCAAAAGAAAGATCTTCCTTGTTATAAACTAAGGAACAAACACGGAAGAACTATGGAATCAGAAAATCACCACTATAGAAACACCAGAGTAATAATTGGTACTACAGTGCAACAGATGCGATCACGGACCAGAAAATGATATTTTTCTTTTGTTGTAAGGGGCATAGTGAGAAAAGTTCCAAATGTGAATAAAGTCTCTAGACTTTGTCTCAATGTTAATTTTCTGATTTTGATAACTGGGTTTATGTTAGAATAATGTCATTTTTAGGAGCTGCATGTCAAAACTATTAATGGGAGAGTTTTCAGGTTTGCAACTTACTTTCAAATGGTTCAGGGGAAAAATATGTATACACAGGAAGACAGAAGGATAAAGCAAAGGTGGCTAAATGTTAAACACTGGTGAATCTGTGTGAAGCATATATAGGAATTCTTTGTACTGTTTTGTAATTTTTCTATAAAACTAAAATTATTATGCAATAAAAAGTTAAATAGAACGACACAATGTGCACAATTATGTCCTTTACTCAGCAAACATACCCAGATTTTCAATGGTGTAATAGCGCTGTTTATAGTCCACTTTGATAGTCTGGGCATGAGGGCTGCCAATGCCATAACCAATGGCATAACCTCTGACCACAATGTTCTGATTCTCTGGAGGAGTCCAGCTTACTACAATGCTCGTGACAAGCGGGCGGACATGAAGAGAGCTAGGCACTTCAGGAACACGAGTTTCTGGGAAGGAAAGTAGAAAAACAAGATGAGATCCACTTTACTGTAGAATATTTTACCATCTTTGGGGAATGGTGTTCAGCCTCCTGCCAAACTATTTGGGGATAAGTGTTCCCCTATTTGGGGTCAAGAGTTCAAAGAGAACCTGCAACGTATAGTGAAATGTGGCTTATGGTTTTAAATGTATCCAAAACAAAACCTTAATAGACCTAAATACAAGATACTGGAATATTATATGGAAGGAAGACAAAGATTCAGAACGTCTTCCTGGTAGAGAAAAATAAGTTGCCTTTCAATATTTTCCCATCCTTTGCTCTACATCCCACTGCCAAACTTTACTAAGTATAAAGAGAAAGAAAACATCAAGCAATTAAAAGCCTGCTGTGATTAGGTGATTAAGCAACCCATAATGGCAATGGTACCAATTATTTACTTTCCTAAATAATCTATAGGTCAGAAAAAATGGAATTTGAGATTCGAAATTGACTCAGTTGCTAGGAGACTTACAGGATTTTAAAGAGTAGCAATTCATAATATCTTTCACATGTATTACTTCAAGGCATAAATTACCACCTTAACTTAAAAACTAGTAAATTGAGTTTTGGAAAGAAAATGAAGGTCTTTTGTCTCCCAAGTTTGACACCTGCCATAACTACACACAGCCACATGAAGTAATTTATTGAATAAACAGGTAAGAAAAAGGACAAGTTGTCCAGAACTAGGAAAATGGGAAACCACAATTCAGATAAAGGTACAATTGATGTGGCTCAGCCTTAAATTTTAGATTATTCATCTACTATTTAATGGCAGTGGTAAAAAACAAACAAACAAACAAACACATCCAGATAAAGCATCTGTATGCTTTTATTTGCTCTCTTCTGCTGGAGGAGTCCAGCTTACTACGATGATGCTCGATGCTCCTGACTAGCAGGCGGACATGAAGAGAGCTTAAAGGAATAGTTCTCTAAAAGCTACTAGGGCAGGGGGTGGGGTGGGTAGGGAATCAATTCCAGGAATCTTGCTGCTTTATAGGAATGACAATAGTATAATACATTCAAGTTCAGAGATTTAAGTCAAAGTGGCTTTCCAATCTGACTCACTGACTACATTTCATACCTAGCAAGTGTTGGTACTGACAATTATTTGATCTTACCATCTAAGTCACTTTCAAATGTTTCAGCAGACAGCCAGTCAGTTGCCGGGCCTGTACCATTGACTGTTAAAGCAGCTACTCGGAAATTGTATTCAGTCCCCTGATCAAGACCTGAGACCCAAACGACAAAAAATAAACAAACAACAAACAGGCTGAAACAAGAGCCTTGGAAAACAAAAGATCAATAATCTTTCAGTAAAGCAAATATCTCACCCATTAACTCAGTTCATAGCTTGATAAAGTTTAACACAGAACAGTAGTGCACATCTTCACAGTAAAGGCTGAATGAAGCTTGCACACCCATGAGAAAAAAACAAAAATGACTAAAGATCCTAGTAGATAAGAGATTTTTGTTTAGGATCTTGAAGGTACCTTAGAGATCATTAACTGGAATCCCTTAATTTTCTTAGAAAGAAATGTAAGGCCAAAGATAATCAGAGTTATTACAAAGAAACAAAGTCAGCTGGTTCAGAAGATAACGAAAACCCAGAAAAGAATGTTAAGATATAACTCCTATCAGGTTACCTCTGGTCTTGTAACACTCCTATAACCTTAGCAGAAAAATTTTAAACATCAAATATGGCCTAGAAATCTGTTCCTCAACAAATAACTGTCCATATGTATTTTTATTAGGCAAAAGAAGGAAAAAAAAAACTTTCTATTATAGAACTTTTAATTTACTACCAGTTAATAAAGTATAAGATTTACTAATGCACTAAATACAACAAAGATCCATATATAAACATCTACTCTTCAAAACAGGCCAACAGTTAATAATATAATTTTTCATACATTTATGCATACATTTTTAGAGGACTTAAATTTGATATTGTGATAGGCCTTATAAAGACATAAAAATTACTGTGCTTCTCCATATTCAAATATTGGGATCTTTGGAAAACATCACAGTTCAGAAATTTCAAAGACACACTGAGAATGTAACTTGGCCTAGATGCAAGATATGCCCTGGCTCAGTTAACCAATCTTGGCACACGGTTTGGAAGGAGAGACAGAAGGTTTTATCCATTTTGAATCTGTTTGCCCACAAGACAGCAGAGACAGAAAGAGGAATAAAATGGCTAGGTCCAAGTCAATTTTCTTCCCTGCCTTTATCTCTGTACACAATGAACCAGAAAGTGCTAGAGCTGGCTACACATGAGATAACAGCCTGGATTACTAGCAGACATGGCTCAGTTAAGATCCTGAAAGAACTGAAGTAGTCATATTATTATTTTCTGCCTTTTTGAGAATTAGAATACATGAGAGATAGCATGAGAGAGAAAGGTATATGTAAAGAGGACAAATGGGTTAGGATTGTGTCTCAGTGGTAGAGCACTTGCCTAGTATGTATGAGGCCTGGGGTCCGATCCTCATCACCACATAAAAATAAATAAACGAATGAATGAATGAATGAATGAATGTATCCACCGGAGCTCTTCACCAGAAAGGACCTAGGAGGACCTGAGGACCTGGATGGTGCTGATGCCTTTCTGACTGACCAAGAGGATGAGGAGCTGAAATCCCCAAGAATGAAGAGCACAGGGGACAGAAGAGAAGCTAAAGTGGACTTGAAGCGGGTCCATAAGCGTAGAAAGGTGAGCTGTTACCTCTGGCTGCACTGCCAGTTTGTGCCAGAAGCAGCTTTCTCTAGTTGTGGTTTTGGTTTGTTTGAAATCTCAAGCTAATAATGTGTAAGTAAAGTGGGAGCCAGAGCCACTCTGGGGGGCAGGAGGGAGGGCAGCTGGCCCTCAGCCTGGATCTCTGGAGGTTCTGCCCATGTGCTGCAGCACAGAAACCTGGCAGAAGGGGCTCAGCTTTTACGTGCCCCTTCTTCTGCTATGAGGCAAGAGCCACAAGGGTGGAACTGCATGTGCTGCCCTTTCCCCGGCTCCATGCAGTGCTGCCTGACCATCAGTATAGGGCAACCAAGGCAGAAAGGCTGGCTGCTCTGGCTAGTGGGGGCCAGGGTGGTACGGAGCCTCCCTGGGGATCAGAAGCATCCATAACCAAATGCTCTGCTGTACCATAGAAGCACCTGCACTCACTGACCAAGAAGCTCAAGAACCATCACCACAAGCCCAAGAGCTTTGGCTCCTTCAAGCAGTCGGGTTAATAAAGGTTGTGGGGCCAGCTTTCGGTTCCTTGGAACTCTTAAAAAAAAAAAAAGGCCAAGAGTTCCTCTACCCCTAAGTAACTGACAGAACAAAACTAAAGTATATAATACATGTTTAAAGATATGACAAAATGTGTTAAGTACTATCACAACAATTACTTCTGGCTAAAACATAATCATAAAACTTATTACTTAGGGGGCTGGGGTTGTGTTTCAGTGGTAGAGCGCTCGCCTAGCATGGGCGAAGCATTGAGTTCAGTCTTCAGCACCACATAAAATAAATAAGTAAAATAAAGGTATTGGGTCCAACTGCAACTAAAATATTTAAAAAAAAAATCTTAGTACACAGGATCTTGGTAATCCATATTGTTCCTTAGTACTTCAAGCTTTAAGTTACATTTCAAGATCCCTGTTTTTGTTCACCATTATATATCCAGTACCAGATCATGAAGATTAAATGTTGTTCATCTTGTGAATATTTGGACCATGCTTAAAAAGAACAGCTGTTTTTATTTGATAGGGAATTTTAGAGATGCTTAATATGGTCGTAGATTTGAGTATGGTCTGAGCAGATTCCACCCTACCCTCTCCTTCATTAGTTTAGTAATGCCTAGATTCTGTCCTCCTCAACTACATGTGGCTCAGACAGAGTCACCTTCTTTTTTCTCAAGATCCTCCTACAGAGAAACCTTACTTAGGCAAACTATACTAAAGAAACTACCCATGACAGAATTTTCTAAAAATTCTATGGTAGTGGGGCTGGGGATGTGGCTCAAGTGGTAGCGCGCTCACCGGGCATGCATGCAGCCCGGGTTCAATCCTCAGCACCACATACAAACAAAGATGTTGTGTCCACCGAAAACTAAAAAATAAATATTAAAAAAATTCTCTCTCTCTCTCTCCTCTCTTAAAAAAAAACTTTAAAAAAAATTCTATGGTAGCAAATATGATTATTGCATTGCTGCAGCTATTCATAAACATTCTTGCAGACCACTAAAACATAAATGCAGTCAATGTTATTATAAAAATTGTTTTGTAAACCTCTGTTACAACTAGATTAAGTGGAATAATTTCTATTCTTATATATATTCTGTTTTACTTTTTCAGATTACAAAATAGCAACATATGCACTCAAAAAAGAAATGTGGAAAATACAAGGAAAAAAACAAAAATCAAACATAATTTTACCATTAAGAAATGGTGGAATCTATAAGGTGTTTTCATTAAATTATATCAAGTCTATTTTCTATTAAATTAAATCAAGTGACTATTAAAATTTGGGGGAACCATTTTTTATTTATGTAAGCCAACAGCTCAGAACACTTCTTAGACTAATATAATTCAATGTCTGAAAATGACATTACTTCTTAGCTTCTGTCTATATGCAAAACAGCTTACCTTCGATCAGCTGAGACAGTTGTGTCCCAGTAACCAAAGTTTCAGTGACATCACTTTTTCGGGAGGCCTTTCGGTAGCGAATCTTGTAGCCAGTAATCTGCCCATTCTGTGTGGCTGGAGAAGGTGGCTGCCAGTGAATCATAATACTCTGGGAAAGACAAGATTATATAGGGAAAAGACTGAACATATTGAAAGGTTGGTCCTGTTTTATTATTAACCACTCAAAAATACTTCTTATTTTAAAACTTCCAGTGGCAAAATGGGGAGAATATAATTTCAAGTAGTGCACTCTGGACCAGTGATCTCTGGGCATTTTGTCAGAATGAATATGTTGGTCAAAAATTCCAGAAAAAATTTCAGAGGGAAAGTATAAGAGGTCAGAAGCACATTGATTAGGAAGTAAACTGTTGTTAGATATAATTTTTTTTTTTTTTTGTACTAGAAATTGAAACCAGAGGCACTTAATTACTGGACCACATCCTCAGCCCCTTTTTATTTTGGGAAAGGCTTTTGCTAAGTTGCTTAGGCCCTTACTAAGTTGCTGAGGCTAGCTTTAAACTAGCATCCTCCTGTCTCAGTCTCCCAAGCTGCTGGAATTACAGGCATGCACCACCACCCCTGGCTGTATAAGATTTTTTTTTTCTGTCTCCATTACAAAATTGCTGAAGTTAAACAATTTCTATCTAAAACTCTTCAAAAAGGGGCTAGCTGATTGTTTCTTCAAGAAGGAAAGAGTTCTATGGTACTTAAGAAAGGACCATTTCATTTGTCTATGGATCCTAGAAGGGGCTGTGGGCCTCTGAGAGGCATGCATAGCTTTACATGTAGTGAACTGACCAGGGACAGTATGGACAGACACAATCAAACCTATGTGTCTGCCTGTAGTTCACACTGGGCTTGTCTCACAGGACTACAGAACCATGTCATCATAAACAATTTATTTCCTTCTGCTGCATTACTAAGGCTTTAGTTGGTTAATATTGAAAATGTTAAGCTTACATAAAAATAGCAATTTATTTGCAGGAAGGCTAAAAATGCATTGGCATTAGAGAAAGAAAGTAAAGTTAAATGGAATAAATGAGTTGGGTCCTATGACCAACTTTACTGGCAAATGTAATATTTATGTTACTTCGTTTCTTTGCTTGATTATGAGTATTTTCAATTATGTTCTAATTTAATTGGTTAGTATTTTTTAAAAAGCAAAATGATTATCATAGCATTGGCATTTATTGTTCTGGTGATTTCCCATGTAACCTCCCCCTCTGTAAGCACCTGAGGCTCAGTAGTATACCAGTAAAGTGAATGGCAGAATTACAAAGTTTTACCTTTGAATTTCTAACTTCTAAGGATAGATTCTGAGGAGCAGCACTGGGAACTGAACAAGAAAATAAAATAAAATCAAAAGTTAATTACATACACATCACCCATTATGTGATTGTTCTTGGCTAGACTTCACACAACCATTATGTACCTCAAACATTGACTATGTGACCAGAAGGTTTCAACCTAGTTGCCAATAATGCCGTCATGCTGACAATCACAGGGGGATGAGGTGTGGCCGTGTTTGCTTAATTTTTAAAAATAAGACACTTTCATGTGAGCATGCACTGTATATTTCAGAATGTACAGTGGCTCTACACTTTTCTAGACCCTGGACTTTTCTAGACTCCAGATGTATTCTGAATCTTAAGTATATTCTTCTGAATATTTGTCTTGGGAAAGAGCCACACATTCTCTGGAACCAAGTCTAATGAATGTAGCAAGTGACTGAATTGGGTAATGACAATATGGATCAAAATGAGATGTACATAAATCAGTGAGCTTGGCTTTCTTGTGGGATTCCTAAACTGGTTTTGAAGGCAATTCCCAAGAGAGGAAGATATTTAAGCAATGACAGCTTTAGTTAAGTGAGCCATCTGGCTTCCTAAGGCAATTATGTATCAGGGAGCATGCATTTAGATGTGAGAAGTTTGGGACTATTGATTAAACAGCTGTATAACTTTAGTCCCTCACATATTAGAATATAACATGGGGGTATCTCAAAGTTTATGGACTATGTACTCTCCAGTATCTTCCTTCACAATGATTACAGTAAGCTAAAACAACAATAAACAGCTTAATTAGACTTTTCTCTACCACATTTCTTTTCTGATCCATCCAAGGGAACTTCTCTCTTCCTTTCTCTAACATTAAGTGATTAGGTATTTATGTGCCCACTGTGCTAAAGCTTCTGGAAGGCAGAGCCTTGCTTATTGTAATTATAGCTTGTGCCTCAGGCCTCAACCCAAAGATGGCTGGAGAGAGTCTGGAGTAGGAGCCAGGCACCTATGCTTTACAAACAGTACATTCATGATCCATTCATCCACTGACTCAGCTGCAGAGGCACCTAACAGAGTTGTTTGTGACTGCTGTCTTTGTCAGCATCCTTAGAGCTAAGATTTGCTACATACTCACTATAGTGCAGGTACTTAACAACAATTTCACAAAGGGGTTTCTATTACTATTTCCATCTTATAGATTAAAAAATTATAGATGAGGTTCAGGTAAGTGAACTTGCCCAAGGCATTAGTTTCAGCTGGCATAAAAACTAAGATTTGCCTTACACCAAAGTGCTGCCCTAAATCACCATGCTAAGACATACTCAGTTCCAGTAGGTTCTTGGTTGACATGACAACCCACTCAACACTGTTAAAAATTGGCTCATGTGCAGTTTAAAAAAGCCTATAATAAGCATTTTCCCCTCAATTTTTTACAAAAAATTTGACCAACTGGTTCATGCAGTTGGCTAGCCAAACTATAGTTTTTTATTTCTTTTTGCTCAACTTTGTATCCTAAAAAAGTCAAGCCCACAGAGGAGTGGCTTCTTTAGAATAGTATAATGAAAACTATATATTCTGTTCCTGGTTCACCAATTATTAATATTATGTGACATCTGCTTTACTTTTTTCACTATAAATATACATACACACAGATTTACCTATCCACATATTATTTCTGAATCATCTGAGAGGTGGCTGCAGTCACTATGATACTTCCCTCCTAAACACTTCAGAATGTATCTCCATGAATCTCTAAAGAATTAGGACAGGCTCCAATAAAACTACAATACAATGATTAAATTCAGGAAATGTAATCTTGACACAAAATATTAGCTAATAACACTTCTAATATTTAATATTGCCTAATACTGTGCAGAGCTAACATTAATTATGACAACTGTGTTCAGTATGGCTGCTTTGTCTCCAGATTCAGTCAAACATCATACTTATTTCATGTGTCTTTACTCTTCTTTAATATAGATTCTAGAATGATTCTCCATCCCACCCCCACCTTTCTCTTTCCTAAGACAAATATATTTTAAGAATCTAGGTCAGCTTTTAAAAGTAAAGAATAATTTTTTCCCCAGAACATCCTTCTATTTGGATATATCTGATTGTTTCTATTGTGTTCAGATGTGTGTTTAATATTTTGGGCAGGGACACAACAGAAGTGAGGCTGTGTCATTCTTTGTGCATCACATCAGAGGCACAAGATGTCAGTCTGTTCCTTTACTGGGGATATCAAGTTAGATCATATGCTCAAGGGAGTCAAACTATAGCTTCTAAAGCACAGATATATATATATATATATATATATCTCACTGGATTTAGCTTAGTTTCATCCAACAATAGACACTTTTACTAGGGGTAATGAACTCTGAACTCTGATATTTTCTATTTTATTCTAAAAATATTTTTTAAAAAATGCTGGTCTTGACCTACTTGATCTTTTTGGCAAGCTGCAGTTTGAAAAATATAGCTCTAGATCATAAATATATATATATATATATATATATATATATATATATATATATATAACTTAGGTTAGAATTCAGTCACAGGTGAAAATGAAACTCAGAAAATACTGAGGATACAAAAAGATTTAGTAAGTAAATATGATTGCTAAGTTGAATAAGGGCAGCCTTCCAACAGCCCTGAAATGGTCTGTGGAACAAACAATCGTACTTATTTACACAGAAGACTTTGCTAAAAATATAAGCACCAAGAACCTATTTAGTACCAGACACTGTATGTTCTATGCTTTCTTGGTGCATCTTTAGAGCAACCAATGAAGTCAGTGTTATCTGCATTTTACATGTGTGGGAACGTGCTCAGAAAAGTTAAGCAGCTTGACCAAAGTCACACTACCAATAAAGGTTAGAAATAGGATTTTAGCTGAATCTTCTTTACATAATCTTACTACAATATTGCTAGGGGCATAAAGCATAGTACTTTGTTCCAAAAGAAGAAAGACTTACCATCTGACAATGTTCGAACAGCAACATCCTGTGTGGAGACTCCAGGACCATGTTTATTGTAGGCCACTACTCGGAAACTATACTCTGTATATTTTTTCAATCCATTAAGAGTGTAGGAGTGACTTGAAATATCAACATCCTTGAATAAAATAAAACACTGTTTATATATACAACTCTAGCCAAAAGAAATGCTATAAAATAATGATTAACTATACAAATTTTATATTCTTTGCACTTTTATAAATGCTATTTAATGGTTAAAGCAGATTAAAATAATTAATACTGGCAATTTACTTAGAAATATCACCTGTTGTTAAGTGACTCTTGCTGGTAAAAACTACAGAGTAAATCATGTTACAAAGAAATAGACCCTGACAACTTTGTGTTTCCTACACATCTTTTCCCCCACTTTCACTTCCCAGTCAAATAACTATGGAGTTTGAGAAATATATTACAACTCTTTATTTAAACCAATGGTTTATAAATGGCTTCATTTTATACCTGTTCTTTATCTGTTCCTTTTTCCATGTAGTACAATTTGTAATTTTGAATTTCCCCATTGCCAGACAATGGGGTTTCCCATGTGACAGTGATGGAAGTAGGAGATGTTGCATACGCTCGGATGTTAGGTGCTGGGCCAGGGAGCTGGACTGGAAAGAAGATTTCAAGACAGCGAGACACAAATGAGATTTATTGCACTCCTTAATAACCATTCTCATCAATACTATCATACTGGCCATGTTTTAGAAACAATTGGAACTAAGAAAACAACTGACTTGATTGATGTGGTATTAGGCTAATACATATATAGTAGAGTAGGAGCATGACATGATCAGATCTGTATTTAGGAAGCACATGTGAACAGTAAAGGAACAAGATTAGATAAAGAAATATTTTAAAAACAGTTATAATTTACTAAATGCTTACCAGTTAAGAATTCAGTTCTTTACATGCTTTTTTTTGTCATTTATTTTTTTGCTAACTCATAAGATGAATATTATTAGCATCCCCATTTACATTTGAGGTTTTGAAGTTAAGAACCTTTACTAAGTGATGGGAAAGTTATAGTAGTGGAACCAAATGCCAGGCACTTCCCAATTCTAAAATAAGAGCTCAAAGACATTAATAAGGAGATTGTTGCAATACTGTCAGTAGGATGCACATGATTGAAAAACTGAATTGGCGGTTGACTGATTGAGCAACTGCTGTCAAATGATGGATGGTGTACCCGAATCTTATTTGTACAATGGCTCACATATTGACCATTTCACTGTATTCTTTTTTTCTGACTGACAGATTCTAGTTCCTATTTATTCACAAATCCTGCATAGTTGCCCATGTCTACATTTCAGTAGACATCCCATATTTGAAAACAATTTCTCTGGCACTAGTGTATCTGTAACAGGCATCCATAAGATAAAATCTAACAAAATGTAAAACTGGCTTTCTTAAATAACAGCACTGCAATTTAAGATTTATTTTTCTACGGAACTAGAGGAACCTGAATATCATTACTTGAACAGTTGTTTGCTTTATTTAGTTATGTCATGTTATTCACTTAATGTTAAGAGCATATTTTGTTCAGCCTGACAGGCAGCATTTGTAGCACTTCTGCAGCAATGGAAAACTTTCCTGTAACTTACTAAAGGGGAAGGAAAACACAACAGCTCCTAAATTCCCTTGAAATCACTTTCAATATATTCATTGGCTAAGTGCAAGCAAATACAATCCTAAAAAAGGTGCTAATGAATTCTTTCATTTCAGCTGTACAGTGACATAATAAATGGAAGAAATTTTAAGTTGGTTTATGAAGCTAAATATGCAAAATATTTTCCAAGGGCTGACTCCAACATTTATACCTCCTTCACATAAGCTGAATACCTCCAGATGAAATGCAAATCCCTCTTCATTCCCTGCTACTCGTTTGCTAAAACATGTTATAGTCTTTCTTCAACCTGAAAATATCCTCACCAGAACCTGTTGCCCCATCTACCCGTATTCTTAATTACTTTCTCTTTAACCAAACTCCCTGAACAAATGATTATGATGCCTATTTTTCTTGTGATGGCCATATTTGACAGTACTATGTATTTACTTGTCTGTCTCTGATGTCAGACTGAAGCTCTTTTGGACAAAAGTCAAGTTTTACTCTTCTTTCCATCTTGATTGCCTAATACAGTGACTGGCACATATTAAGCACCCAATAGTTACTTTTCCTTAATCTTTTCTTTCATTTCTCAATCTGTCAACAACCCTATAGTCCAGGGGTTCTCAACAATTCCACACACAAAATCTGAAATGATAATGAAAGCTGCAGATTCTTTCTATGGGAAATGTGAATGTACAGGCACCCACAAATATTTTTGTGTAGTACTCAGAAGATTCCACAGTTCCAGGATAAAACCTTGCAGTGGATCAAATCCTGTGGTCTTTCCTTCACTTTCATCATGACTCACCTTGCATGAGCATGGATAATGTTTGATCCTATTTCTGGGATTTGGGTCATACAGCTTCTTTACTCAAGAATGCTAAGTTCAAATGCTTCAAGGTCAATCTCAGGTCTCATCTTTTCCAAGAATTCTGCCTTGACTTACTACCTTTTGAAGTAAATTTCCATATCTCTCATGTATGATGCCTGCACAAAAAAGCTTATGAAGGATAATTGAGCTTAAAATTTAGTGTAGTATTTCTGCACTTGTCTGAACGTGGATAACTGTGAAATTCAACATCCTTTCTCTGTAAGAAGAACACATTTTTTCCCTTAAATTAACTGGTGTGGATTCTGATGTCCTTGTGTTCTTGCTTCTTATCACTGAAATGATCAATGGCCTTCTATTTTCATTGCTTCTTCTATAAGAGGAGAAATCTTATCTTCTTTATCCCTGTATCTCTAATACCCTGCAGAGTACCTGGGTTATGATAAACTCAAATTTTGATCAATGAGTGATTTGCTAGAGCACTGTAAAGCTCTACAGCTTCTTGACTTCATTTATTCTAACCATCAGGGAAAGTCTTTGAATTATTTCTATAATTGCACTAGTACATTCATTCATTCTGTTTAGTTCCTAGGTCATTCGTTTTCATAAATGTATCTCACATGCTTTCAAAGCAAAATCTTTATTACCAGAGGTTTGTGAATAACAACAAAAAATCTTGAGCAATTAATAGTAAAAGTAAACTGGAGAATGTTCTGAAGAAAAACAGTGGCTAAAGTTAAAGGTAAAGATAAAGGAAAACCAGTGGCTGGTTTTGACAGAAGTGTAGAAAAAGTGCCAACTGGGGAAAGCATTAATTATGACTTGATTGTTTCTTATAATTTCAGGCCTATAGTTTACAACCAAAACTTAAGGTATACAGGTCATTTATAATATAAACCAACCTGATACTTGTCTCACAAAAAATCTTAAAAATGTAGTTAGAAGTACCACTGTTAGTACAAAAGACCAAAGGTCCAAAATAAAGGGTCCAAGATCTTTTAATGAGTGAGATATGCATTAGGACAGGGAAGTCTGGCTGACAACAATAATAAATATCCACTTTATGTGCAAGGCACTACGTTATATGAAATATCCATAAAATAAGCAAGATATAATCACAACTGAAGGAAGAAAGTGATAATTTGTCTCAGAGTAGACAGGATCAAAAGAAAGATTACAGAAGGCATCTGAGCTGTCTTAAAGGATCAGTACAATATGAATATGTAGAAAAGTATCTGCAGAATTATACCATCTCATACTATTTGTTGCTGTTTGATGAAAATTCATTTTGTCTTCCCTAGTTCTTAAGGATCTGAAGATGAGGAGCTATCAGCTTCTGCTTTCCTATGGTATGCAAGGCTTAACGTAAGAGAGACCTTCATATAGGTCTCCCTCTGCAAAGGGCTGACAGATAGGTGGAAGAATTACCTTCAGGCTGTGTTTCTACTCGTAGTGGAGCTGAACTCTCTCCGAAGCCATGTTTATTTTGAGCCACAACTCTAAAGATGTACACAGTCGCTGGCATTAGATTTTGAATGGTTACCTGCATCTCTCCTGGGCGACTGGTATTCTCAACACGTTCCCTTTGGTCAAAGAAAGGTTTGAAAAAAAATAGCTATCGATTAGAAACATTTTAAGAATGTACAATTTCAATTTCACATCAAAATTCAATAACTTAAGTAAAAGTAAATCTCAAACAAATTAAACTCGAGTGGGGCGGTATAGCAATGCACAGTAGAATAAGGAGACCGGCGAAAGAGCAGGTCATATCTGACAAGTCACTGATGTCCTTGCTTGTTACTGGGATCACTGATTACAATCACTGCTTCTTTTCAGATGTGGCCCAGGGCTCTCAGCACCATTTCAAATGGGGCAGCTAGTCATCAACTTTGTAGGCTTTAGAAATCATTAAGGGTTTTTTGTTTTGTTTTGGTACAGAGGATTGTACCTAAGGGCACTTTACCACTGATCTATCCAAAATCCTTCTGAGACAGGATCTTGTGAACTTGTGATCCTCTTGCCTCAGCCTCCTGAGTTGCTGGGACTACAGGCAGGTACCACCATGTCCAGCTTAGAAATCATTGAATTTTAAGGAGTTAATCCCAGGGAAATGGACAGAAGGTGGCTGTAGGCATCATCTGATTTTCACAGAAAATATCAAGGAATGCTGTTTGAGTAAGAGATTTTCAATAAAAACAAAGATGTATGGCTGGTATTGTGGCTCAGCGGTACAGCGCTCGCCTAGCATGGGCGGGACCCAGGTTCGATCCTCAACACCACATAAAAATAAAGGCATTGTGTTGTGTCCATCTACACCTAAAAAATAAATATTAAAAAACAAACAAACAAACAAAAAAATCCAAAGCTGTAGTGTATTGATTTTTAAATAGAGAACAAAAACATTAAAATTTACATGTAACTCAACCTATAAAAAAAGATAATTCACGGCACTAACTTTAATAATTCCACCTCCCTCCCAAAATGGGGATTGAACCCAGGAGCACTCTACAACTAAGGGACATCCCTAGACTTTTTTGTTTTACTGAGACAGGGTCTCACTAAGTTGTCAAGGCTGGTTTTGAACTTGAAATCCTCCTGTCTCAGCTTCCTAAGTAGCTGGGATTACAGGCATGTACCACCAAGCCTGGCTATAATGTAATTATTAAATTAATACACTTTTTGAATGATCTTCAAAATGATTTGAAAGGTCTGACAAGTCTTATCACAAAAACAACAAATTAATCCAGTTGATCCAGTGTTATAGGACCGAAAGTATAAAAGTGGTTGTCTAGATTCTTTATAAAAAGGTAGCTTCTACATTCTGTTTTGGGGGTTGGGTTTATGTGTCCAGTGTAGCTTCATAATTAATACTCAGACTATTATATTTGCCATAATGAAAATAAGATTATAAAAGAGTTTTCAACAAATATTGTGAAGAAATTTGTTTTAGATAGTTGTCATTCACAGAAGGAAGACCAATAGAATAGGGAAATAGGCCTGAGGGAGGGAGAGGAAGAGAGAAAGAGAAGGTACTGGGGACTGAAATGTAGTAACTAAAATTTCATGTATGATTTTATGGATGATTATGTTAAAATGAACCTAAGTATGATAACTATAAAGCACTATTAAAGCCTAAAAAAAGAATTGTCATTCATGTCAGAAAAGATATGAACCTATGTTGAAAATGAAAAGAATCCAAAGCTATGCTGCAGAGAAAATTATTCTGAATTACCAAATCTGCTGAATTAAAATTCTTACTTCAAAATATTGCTTATTTGGGCTGGGGTTGTGGCTCAGCAGAAGAGCACTTGTCTAGCACGTGTAAGGCCATGGGTTCAATCTTCAGCACCACATAATAATAAATAAAATAAAGGTATTGTGTCCAACTACAACTAAAAAATAAATACTTAAAAAATATTGCTAATTTGTCTTTAAAATTGCTGATTAAAATTTGTTTAGGTTTATGTAGATATATGACAATTTATTGATTATATATGAACATTTGCATTTGAGATTTAAGTATTTTCAACCATTCTTTAAAAAAGTTACAATAATACTAGAGAAAGGGATGTAGCTCAGTGGTACAGTACCTGCCTAACCGCACAAGGCCTTTAGTTTGATTCCTAGCATTGCAACAAAATAAAACACACAAAACCAGTACCCACTATAATCAGGTCCACTAGAAAAGAGTATTATGGTAATAAAAATTATTGTTCAGAGATACTTGGGGTATTTATAAATATTAAGTTCTTAAACTTCTAAATCAAGAAGTTTTAGAAGGAGGGTATCAACTGATTTCTTATACTTTGAAGTTTCTAACACTTGATCTGATTACAAATGATTGCTGTTTAAGAGGAAGTATCATATTTTATAATTAAAACTAAAAGCTCCATGAGAGAGCACATAATAGGTCTCTTTTGCTCACCTTCTATATAAAATTTTAAAACAGGTTCTTTCCCAGAAAGATAACTTGGCAGGGGGTGCTCTTTTATTTTAAATTGAAGTGAAAGACTCTCATTCATATTCACATACTTAAGAAGCACTAGGCGCGGAATGCTCAAATGGGGAAGCAGTCTTATACATGTTTATAGAATGAATGAAAATTTGTCTTCTGATGTATAAATCTTAGAGAGTAATAACATCATATTATCTTTTGTTTGTTCCTACATGAAAGGGTGAATGTGTGAGAAATGAAAAAAGATTCTACAGAAGCATCACTATAAAAATAAAATCAGTCATAGGTATAATTCCCTAAGATGAAGAACACAGCGTCTGAGAAGGCTCTGACATTAGATTGGTCTGATGTCCCAGAACCAAGTCTCTGTTGAGGAAAAAACAAAAAACAAAACCCAAAAACCTTGACTTCAGGCCAATATCCGGGTAGTGTTAAAAGGGCAATTCTCAAATATGTGGGATTACAGTGAAGTTTAAGGAAGGGTGTGATAGCTAAGAGTTGAAAGGACAAGGTACACTTTATATTAAGGCAATGCTGGGCCAGAAATTTGAAGATCTACTTCCAGTTGAGCAATGCTACTAGCTTACAAGAGACTATGGGAGTCACCAGGTATTTCTGAGCTCCACTTTCCTTTATGAATTAAATGAAGGAATGAGATGGGTGGATAAACGTTTTCTTAAAGAGCCCAACAGTAAATAATTATAGATCAAAAGACAAAATGGAGGATACTGTGTACTTACTTATATAACTTTTCAAAATGCAACCATTTGAAAATATAAAAACTATGCTTAGTTCTTGGGACATAAAAAGAAAAGCTCTGGTTTGGCTTCAGGTCCATAGATTGACAAACCCTGGACTACACTAACAGACCTCTAAGGTTTCATCCATGTCTAACATGATATCAATATCAGGCTCAGGTAACTCAGGTTCCTAAAGAACTATGGCTGATGATCAAGGCCTGTACTGCCATCTAGCGGTTGAACTGTCAAATGCAGGAAGTGTGCAATTTGCAAATGAAGGTAGTGGCATACAACCTTACAATGAATTCTTTTTATGTCTGTGAAGTAACTTATTACCCTTGTTTTTTAGATGAGAAAATTCAATCTTAGAAAAATTAAATAAATTCTGTTTATAAAACAATAATCCAGGATATAGTCTGACTTACAGAGTTCTTTACTACTCGTACACTGCCTCTATTCAGAAATTACACACTTCAAATAATGAAGTAACACTATCACAGTCTCAAAGGATCTTCTTTTTAAAATTTCCCCTATCCACTCCACATCACTGCTCTCATCAACCACTACATGTCTACATTAACATAAGTATTACCTAATTTGTCTTCCTGGCTCTATTTTTTCCCTTTCTTATCTTGTATAGAAGTGCTGCTAATACAAAACGTTCAATACAATCACATTGCACACTCGCTTGAGAGTCTAAAATGGCCCCTTCTCATCTGCTTATGTCCAAATTTTTACTGGCATTCCAATGTCTGGCTTCAAACTTCCATTTTATTTTTTTATTTGTTCTTTTTAGATACACATGATAGTAGGGTGTATTTTGACATATACTTCCACTTTATTTTAACCTCTTGCTAAATCTCTGGTCAAACTAGCTTTATGACTGCCCTGTTTTTCTTATACCAGAAATTCAGATGCAATGAGACCCTTCCCTTGCATTATCCCTTCCTTTACACATAAGTTGCCTGCTCCTGCCAACTTAACTTCTATATTTCTCTCAACTCCAACTTCACTTATTAATCACCTCTGCTTAACTCCAACCCATGATCTACTAATTAAAAAAAATAAACGTAAGGATAATCATTAAAACATATGAATACAAAAGTATATATGTTTATATATGTATATATGTGTGTACACATACACACACAAACACAAACACACAATTTAAAAAAATACTAGTTCTCTTCCTCAAAATCTGAACTACCCTGAAACCTAACTGTGACATATACATTTTGTCCTATCTTATTAGACCCCTCTGGGCCAGGGTTTCTCAACCTTTGCAGTACTGAGATATGGGACAATATAATTGTTTGTTATGTGGCTGTCCTGGACATTGTAGGATATACAGGACTGCATCTCTGGTCCCTACCCACTACATGTCAGTAAGTACCTCCTTAACTCCAGTTGTAAAAATAAAAAATGCTGCTAAATGTTTTCCGATGAATGGGGGCAAAACTGCTCCTGGCTGAGAATCACCGTTCTGGTGATTCTATCTTTTAAAAGCCAGACAGTTATTTTTGAGGGAAATGTACTTCTGGTAGATTGAACAAGGACAAAAGTCCCATTTTGGAAATAGAGCTTGTTATGCAGAGGACTTACTAAATGTTTTCTTCATTTTGTGAACTCCTATGAGATCTGCAATGAGATTACAAAGTCTACTGGACATGTATATACACATTGAAATATATAATTCATCATTTTAAAACTCCTGCATCATACTTCATATGGGTTTACATATATTATATGCCCATTCCTCTACCAATGGATTCTTACACTGTTTCCCGTCTTAATCTTATGAATAATACTATAATAAAAACTTTTGCACGAGTGTCCTAAGCACATGTATATCTCTATAGAAAAAATATTCCAAAGTGTAATTATTGGATTCGAGGCTATGTGCATTAAAAAGATTTGAAAGTTCTGTCAAATCATCTTCCCTAAAAATTATTTTAATACTCAATGGCCTAGAGTGAATTTTTTTCAGCCTTCAATTCATTTAATACTGGATACTTGTCAATTTAAAATTTTTGTCAGCCCTCTAGATAAATAAAGATAACTGTCATGAATTTCCAAGATTTCTAGAGTTGGTGAAAAACTTAAAGTTTAAGGGCTATCCACTAACTTATGTGAATTGCCCGACTGTATCATTTGTCTTTTGGAATATTTTTTATGATTTATAGGAACTCTTCATATAGACTGGATATCAATACAAGCTTTTATAAATGTTACAAACACTTTTCTTTTTTTTCTCATTATTTTTTTGTGTGATGCTAGGGATTGAACCCAGGGCTTTGTGCATGCAAGGCAAGCACTCTACCAGCTGAACTATAACCCCATTCCTACAAACACTTTTTCTAACTTGTCACCTGATGTTGATCTTGTTTATGTTTTATTGGATGAAATTTTACAGTTACATAAAATAAAATGTCTTTCTTGTTATTTCTGGGTTTTCTTTTAGAAGGCCCTTTCCACTCCCCAAATGATAAGAATAGTTTCAGTATTTTTGTCTAAAATATTTATATTATGTTAATGTATTAATATATTTCTCTAATATATTTATATTTGGTTTAAAAATGATCTCTAATCCACCTATAATGCTATTATACACAATAACAATATAAAATGGGAATAGAGCTTATTTTCTTACCAAATGGTCAAATACCTCAACACGATTTCATGAATAATGTATTTTTTCTCCATTTATTAAAACTAATTTATCCAATTAATAAATATTTATTTAGTGCTACTATATGCCAGGTTCTGTTCCAGGTGCTGGGAACACTACTGAACAAGACAGACACAATAAATAAGTTAATAAAAGAAAAATTTCAGAGACTGACACCCCCCCCCCCAAAAAAAAACCCTCAAAATAACAACAACAACAAAAAGGCAAAACCAACAGAACAGGATGACATGATGGCAGCAGTGTTCTTAATAACTGGCTCTGGTTTATAGCACTGTCGCTATAAAGACTCCCACAAAACCCCATTTCCAGCTGCCATATCATGTCATGAAGTTTGGAAAATTTCCTGAAAATTAACAATTGATATGGGAATAAGCTGGTTCTAATATATCACACTGTAATAGTGACAGAAGGGGCTAAGTTTGGGTGGGTTTTCAGGAAAGGCCTGAAAAGGTGTCCTCAGATGATAAACAAGAAGCCAGACATGGTTATTTTTGAGGGAAATGTACTTCTGATAGATTGAACAAGGACAAAAGTCCCATTTTGGAAATAGAGTTTGTTATGCAGAAGACTTACTAAATGTTTTCTTAATTTTGTGAACTCCTATGAGATCTGCAATGAGATTACAAAGTCTATTGGAGATATGTTAACACTGATACTGACATTTGCTGTTTGGTCATGTCTTGTTTTGTGTAATGATCTTTGTAAAACCTAAAACATCCAGTACAGCATTCAGGTAAACAATACCCCAAAAGTAGCTCTATCTATGAGGATCAAATGATGTCACTCGAACTTTTAAGAGTATTAAATTATTTGCTGAGCATGCTAGGCTGCATTAAATGTAATTACACGTGAATCAACTGTAAGCACCCTAATAGAAATACAAGCTGTATAGTAGGACCCTAACACATTCTTTTAGGTTTCTTATTTTGGTGTGAAGTAAGAGTGCAATGAAGGTATCTACTCAAGCAATGTTGAGAACACACTTTAGCATGTGCCATGGCTTCTGACAAAGAGTTGATAATCTGTTTGGGAAAACAATACAAATACTCATAAGGTAATCAAAGATTAACTTAAGGTAGTCTCATGTTACCATAATCAAGAGTTACTGTTAGTAGTTGCACTACATATATGAGATAAATGTTAATGTGCTCAAAGTACAAAAAGCTCTGGGAGGGCTTCATGGGACTTAATTTAGGAATAGGAGGATTAACTGAATTTTATTTTAGCTGAGGGAGAGATGAGCCACTAAGGAAACTAGAAAAGAGGGCTATAGCCATAAAAATTAATTTCATTAGAACATTAATTAAACTTGAGGAGAAAAGGAAAACGAAGGTGGACAGATAAAATTAAGTCAGACTGTAGAGTAAATCAGTCCAAAGATTTTGGATATTCTTCTATAAGCAATGGAGAAACAATGTGAGCTCCTGAAAGGTGGAGATGGAAAGGGATTTAACATTAAAACTAGTCACTACTACTCTTGCATTATCAAGGGTACCCTGGAGCTCAATAGCCCACAACACATACTGGCACAGGCTTACATTCAAGATAACTTTAATAAATTGTCTACTTTAATCTCTAGAATCTATGCTGACTGAATCTTATGGAAAAAGGGTAGCCTTGGTTATGTTTAAATACTTCCAACCTAAGGAGGTCTATCTACCCTCTCACCAAGTTAACCCAGAAAGGGAGGAAAAAATACCAAGGACTTCAGTCTGTTGGGGAATTTATTTAATGACCTAAAATTAGGAAACATGCATTCAGTGATCACATTTCCTGGACTGAAAATTGATGCAGATTCTATACAATGGAGAGCCAGAGTAAGCATGACTGGATGGGTATGAACCAAGGGGCAGTCCACTGACTCCAGGCATATAGGCACTTACCTAGCAATTCCTTCCTTGGTGTAGAATACAGAATAGGTGAGGTTATCTCCATGAGGATCTGATGCAGGTGTTCGCCATGTTAATTTGATGAAGCGGGTAGAGACCAGGGAGGCCACGACGTCCCGAGGAGCTGAAGGCAGTGGTCCCGTTGTGGCTGGTGCTAGATGGTCAGTAGTGGCACTGGTCAGTGAAGTGGGAGGTAATGTTGGGATGGCAACATCTTGTCATGTGCAAACATTGGGGAATATGAAGGGCAAACCACGACGGTTTTTAAAAAGAGAACAGAAAAAACAAAAAACAAAAAAGAAATAAACAAAACCACGATGGGAAATAAAATAAAATGAATGAACATAAAAAAGGCCATTAAACTGAAGGCTAACATGCAGGCCAGGGGTAACTACTGAAAACTAATGGGCACTGTTCAAGACACATCACTGTAGAGCAAGCAGACTTTCTGGTCATTATGATTGTGGGTAAGGGACAAGGAAAGTAACAGCTGAAAATAACACATTTCACAGGACACAGAGTGCCCAGATAATTTTCTTAATCCTGAAAGTAGCATGCAACATGTGTCAAACTTTGCATATAAAACTTTCATAAAGATAGACCTCAATATTTTCTCAAAATACAGAATGTACACAGTATGGAGGATCCTAGTTACAATGTAGATAGTATGAACAAGCCTAGGTACACTCAACATAGGCTTCTCCCTATCATGATCTCATTGCAGAGTTATGTGTCTCTTCAGCCCTACAGGAGATTCGAAAGCCATTATCTTCAGCTTTGGTTGAATATTAAACTCTGTTGTCTGTGTTGGCAATACTCAGGGAAGTGACAATTTTCGCTAAATTACACTTCATTTGCTATCACATCTATTCATTTGACTACAACAGTATAAAATCCTAAGTCAAAAATTCCAAAGCCACAAAAATAAGTAGCTCATCTGTTTGTTATGATTCTGAATGCAAAGTACATTAAACCAACGTGTGGACTGGATGGGAGAGATGAGGCAGTGACACTAGTTTAAAGTCTCTGTCTGTATACCTGCAACCATGGATAAATTTACTTCCTAAGACAGCCTGTTTTACTGTTGGGACAGTTCTGATTTTAAAAATTTATTCCTAATACAGAACCTAAAATTTTCTTCACTTTGAAACAGATAGTACAAAATTAATCTCACAATTTTTAATTAAAAGAGTTCATCAATTAGAATTGTGTCAAAGCACTGAAGAAATGGCTCAGTGCTTGCCTAGCATATGTGGGCCTGAGGTTCTGGGTTTGATCCCTAGTACCACACACAAAAAAAGGAAAGAATTTTATCAAATACTTAGTGGGGGAAGAGAACATGGAATTTGCAGACCTAGATTTGAATGAAGTGGTAGGGAAACAACCTCCTGGAAACAACTGTGGAATATAAGAGAGTCTAAAGTGATACAATATAAATTAATATGTCAGATGAATTCCATTTTCTAAGGGAAATGTCAGCAGAGGGCCAACCTGAGCTTTACATAGTTGGGATGGAAGCGAGAGTGTAATCCAATAGCTACATTGATTGAGCACTATGGCTCCTTACACAATCATTGGATCCTCATGACATCTCTATGAAATCAGTACTATCATCGCATCTTTGTCTTTTATGTAGGAACTGGTGTTTAAAAGGACTAAACTGGTGTTTAAAAGGACTAAATTACTCAAGTGGGGAACAGAAAATCCAACTTTTGTTTTTAGTTTAAGAGGCCCTTGGATATAGCTGGGAATGTGAGAGTGGATTTGACACCATTTGTGTGTCGCCATGAGCAAATCACTTTTTTCTTGCTCTCTCCTTTTCCTCTAGCCCCACAGAAGTGAGTTTTTTATTTGTTTGTTTTGTGGTGCAGGGAAATCAAACCCAACAAGTGCTCTACCACTAAGTTATATCCTCACCCCACTGAAGTGCTTTGCTGACTCATTTCTATACCTGTTTAGAACCATTCAAAGCTGCCTCCAAGTCTGACCTGACTGGCCAAGCCTAATTTCCCCCAACATCTACTATTGACTGATGTCAGTCTATTATGCAAGAAAGAGTAGAATATGCTACAAAGATCCCAGGATTTCAAGTATAAAGACTCAGGCTTAAAACTTGACCTGTCATTTTCTAATAATGTGAGGGTAAGCAAGTCAGACTGTCTGATGTCAATTTCCTTGTCTGTGAACTCTAACAGTAATATTCCCTACCTGTGTCCCAGGCTGATATAAACCAGAATAGCAAATAAAAAACTGCATGTGAAATCACTATATAGGTTAGTTATTACCATGACTTGAAAGGGTAACAAGCTCAAGCATAAAAGCAGTTAGGAGGGAATATAAGCAGGGATAACTAGGTAAAGAAAGTAATGGGTAATGCTGAAATCATTTAGGGAAATTCAGTTGTCTTACTAAACTTCTAAAGCACAGATCTGTCATTTGTTAATGAAATCTAGTACTTCCCATTCACATTGTTTGTGTTTATACTATCACACTAACCTATAAACTCCTTAAGGACAAGATCTATATCTGCTTCATTTTAGAATCACTCACTATGCCTTTGTCTACTTTAGATAACCAATAAATGTTTATTTACTGAATTAATAAATGGAAGAAAATTCAGGGAGAACTTCCATCAATAGAGACCAATGTTTCAATAGCTCTCATTATACAAGGTAATATTTTAATGTTTTTAGTAAAAAAATATACATGATTCTTAGGTATACATTTTGCAAAGCAAATGTATTTTGTCTTTCCACAGAAAATAAAAGTATAGATAGATTTTTGAAAATAATTCCTAATTATTCATGTCTACTGTAGCCCTAGTTCTTTCCCCAGGTGGGTTCTATTGCTGCTATTCCAAGTTCTAATTAGTAGATAACAGAAAGAGACTTGTATGACTACAGAGAATTGAACAGGCAGTTAAGTTACCCCAGAATCCATGGCAAGATACTGTAGATTCAGACTCTGGACTTTTGGCATGATAGTTTGAAGAGGCTGACAAATTCTCATTCCCAAAAGCAACTACAAAGCTGGACAAAATGGTCAAAGACTAGAAACTGACTAAAGGCATACAGCACGCTGAGAAGCTTTTATTCATGAAAACTACTAGACACTTCAGGTATAATCAGTGTCTGTGGCATTGCCCAGCTTTGTTGGAGTGATTGGTCAACCAGGCTACAGTAGACCCTGAAAACCAGTGGCTTTGCTTCTGTTGCCAAACGAGGCTCAGTTGAGATGGAGCATTGCCACCTATGGGGGCAACTGTGGTGGCATGTGAATGCTTCCCTAAGCCTGGGGTGGTGATCTTTTTAGGGATAAGCAATGAATAGTTGACTAGCCACAGAAGGTGTTCCATGAGGTGAGAAATCAATAAGAAGGCTTAGTAAACTCTCCATATATCCTAGGTTGCCTGGAGTCCATGTGTGTGCCTCAGAGACTGGAGCACATCCAAAGTACCTGTGTATCTTTGGCTGATGAAACCTGTGAATGTGTTTAGAAGACAAGTGAGAGAAGCTGGCAGAAAGCAAAACCAAGCAGAACAAAAATAACTTGGTTTGAATGTACTTCCAAAACTACACAAAGATTTCCTAGTTCAGAGTGGAAGGTTTATTGGCCTATGGTATTTGAGGACAATTTCTGACCAATCTCTGGCTGCACGCTAATTTATAGAGATATAAGGGTTAGCCCTAGAAAACAAAAACAAGAAAATCAACAATGAAAGTTAAGTAGAAACATGAGTAGTTGCACATGCTGGGTGAGACTTATTCAGTCCAAGCAAGTTATCAGACAAACAACATAACAAGAACTACTTCTGGGGTATTGGGAGAAGAGTTAGAATCCACAGCTGCTACAATACATTATCCAAAACATTTAATGTTTAACAAAAATGAGACATTCAACAAAATAAAACTCAGGAGGTAAAATGGCAATCAATGTCTCAGAAGATATTTGGATTATAGATTTAATAGACCTCAAAGCAGCTATTAAAGTATGTTCTACAAGGTCAGACATGGTGGTGCTTGCCTGTAATTATAGTAACTCAAGAGGCTGAGGCAGGAGGATAGCAAATTCAAGACAAGTCTCAGCAACTTAGCCACACTGTAAGCAACCTTGCAAGACCCTGTCTCAAAATAAAAAATAAAAAGATCTGGGGATGTGGTCCAGTGATTAAGCACCCCTGGGTTCAATCCCCAGTACCAAAAAAAAAAAAAAAAAGTTTTACAAACTAAGGAAACTGTAAAGAACTATGCAGGGTCTGAGAGTTTACCTTGTTTATAAGCTAACAGACTAACCTTTTATCATTTTGTGGGTGCTGGCAAAAGACTCAAGTTCTACATCAGAGACAAAGAACTTTATCACTAAGGGCAATGGCAGAAGCTACAGCTTGTCTGTTAGTATCAGTTCTGCATCCCATCTTCAAGTCTCCAGAGAAATGCAAAAAGCCCAGGATGGATTCCTGCACATGCGGTATGTTGCTACCAGAGAGGAACCCTGAGCTTGAGGTATCTGTCACTTTTGTAGCAAGGGGAAGCAATCCCTAGACAAAGAACATGCTTGCTCTGGACATTTAATTTAATTCTGCTGTGGTCAGAGAACATATTTTATATGTTTCAGTCTTTTCTGATATATTGAGCTTTGTTTTGTGATCCAGCATATAGTCCTATCTTGGAGATTGTTCCACATGTGCTTGAAAAAAAAAATCTGTATCTGCAGCTGTCTTTAATGTGGAGAGTCTTTATCTGAAGAGTCTTTTTTTTTTTTAATTTTTTATTGTTGGTTGTTCAAAACATTACATAGTTCTTGATATATCATATTTCACACTTTGATTCAAGTGGGTTATGAACTCCCATTTTTACCCCATATACAGATTGCAGAATCACATCAGTTACACATCCATTGATTTACATATTGCCATACTAGTGTCTGTTGTGTTCTGCTGCCTTTCCTATCCTCTACTATCCTCCCCTCCCCTCCCCTCTTCTCTCTCTACCCCCTCTACTGTCATTCATCTCCATATTGCTTTCCAAATTGGCTGCACCAATTTGCAGTCCCACCAGCAATGTACAAGTGTACCCTTTTCCCCACATCCTCGCCAGCACTTGTTGTTGTTTGACTTCAGAATGGCTGCCAATCTTACTGGAGTGAGATGGTATC